TAAGCAAAGAAAGTATTGTAATTGAGTCCGTTGACCGACTCCCTACTTTAACGTTTTCTCGACCTTTCATGACCTCTAGTGTACGAAGAAATAGGTCTTCCATTTCCGTCTGTCTGTCTGTCTGTCCATCTGTCTGCCGTTTCGATTTTTATTAGGCAGATAATCTCCGGAAGTGTGGTAGATGGTAAAACGCTGTCCTACACATGCAATTTATGACTCCGTGTTGAGTATTTGCTCAAACCGTTTAGATTTTTAGAAAAAAAATCAAAATTATAAAACATTTTGCAATTTAATTTTGTATCTTCAAAACCGAATGCTTTGAAACCTTGTAGATGTTTTAAAGTTATGATAAGCATGATAAATCTTTAATAAAAATATATTTGCTTATCCCCTCCAAAAAATTGTTGACGTCAACTCAAAATTTTGCCGAATAAATCCTATCTAAAATCTCCAAAATACGATGAGTCTATACTTATGATTTATCATAATGAATGCGTGAATTTATTTTATTGATTAAGTCAAGAATTACAGAAAATTACTTTGAAATCTTGCAGGCGTTTTGAAGTTATGGCAAAAGTTTTTAGTCTAAGTGTACAACTTTCTACCAATTTTTTGATTTATCGATTGATCAATTTTTCAATTTTCCGTTATTTCAGTTTTACGATTTTTAAATTTTTCGATTCGTCAATTTCTCGATTTTTAAATTTTCCGATATGTTCCAGTGTTTGGTGTTTCTAATTTTCTATCAATCAATTTTTTGATTTTTCGACTTTACAATTCCTCGATTTTTCCACTTCACGCCCACTTCGATATTTTGAATTTCTCATTTCTCGATTGCTCAATTTTTCCGTGTTTTTTCGGTGTGCCACTTCTCAGTTTTTCGATTTTTTAAAAAATTAAAATTTTTTAAAATAGGGGAAGACCCCTATCTCAGTTTTTCGATGTCGCAGTTGTGAGATTTTTCAGTTTTTTGTTCTTCAATTTTTCTTCGATTTTTAAATTTTTCGATTTTTTAATAATCCAGTTGTTGTTGTTTCTAAATTTTCGATTTTTCGATCAATTGATTTTTCAATTTTGTGATTTTTCGACTTTTCCATTTCTGACTATTCCGACTTTTCGATTTTTCTATATCTTCCCAACCCTCGATTCCTCAATTTTTCGCCTTTTCAATTTTTCGATTTTCTTACTTCTCGACCTTTTGATTATTAATTTTTTATGATTTTTAGATATTTTGATTCTCCCATTTCTTTATTGCTCAATTGTTCGATGTTTCAGCGTCTCGGCTTTTCAATTTTGGGATTTTTCAGTTTTTCGATTTACCGATTGATCAATTTTTGGAGATCGTATTTTGGGATTTTTCAATTTTTTGTTATGTTAATTTCCTCGGTTTCTTGTTTTCTGATTTTTCGGTTTTTGATGTTTCAATTTTTTGTTTCTTAAATTTGAGAGTTTTCGATTTCTCGATTTTTAAATTTTTCGAAAAACTGAAAATCGGAGAGTAAAAGAGTTGAAAATATGAACATCAAAAAATCGAGAATGCGAAAATTCGAACATCAAAAAATCGAGAATGCGAAAATTCGAAAGTCGAAAAATCGAAAAGGAAATAAATTGAAATTTTGCAATATCGAAAGGCCGAAAAATCGAAACACCAAAAGATCGAGACATCGAAATGTAAAAAATTCAAGGAACACCGAAAAATTCAGAAATGAAAAGACTCCCAAACTAGAAGTGCCGAAATGTTAGGAAATCGAAAACTTGAAAAATTGAAAAACTGAAAAATCAAAAAACGAGAAATCGAGACGTAGAAAGATCTGAAATTTAAGAAAAAAAACGAATTGAAAAATCAAAACATCAAAAAATTGGAAAACCGAAAAGTCGAAAAATCAAAGATCGAATAGTTGAAAATTAAACCATCGAGAAATCGAGCCATTAAAAGATCCAGAAAAAGTCGTATGTTTTCACTTTTCGATACTTTTTATTTACGTCCCTGGTTTTTACTTTATAGAACTAAAAAACAAAAATCTCAAAATCAAATTCCATACTTTTTCAACGGAAGGGGATTTATTACTTTACTTTAAGGACGACCAATTTTTTAGATTTGCTTATACGGGGTGACTCAAAAAAATTGATGAATGAGTCAATTTATTTTATTGATTAAATAAGAAATTGTGAAACGGAATGGTTTGAAATCTTGCAGACCTTTTAAAGTTATCGTCAGCATGGTAAATTGGTCTTTATCCTGTCCAAGAAATTGATGAGGTCATCTTAAAATTTTGCCGAATAAATCCTATCGAAAATTCAGAAATTAAACAATCTGTCATGTTATTTATTAAATCAAGAACTGCAAAGTTTAATGTTTTGAAATCCTGTAGACGTTTTAGAGTTATCTTAAGCATGGTAAATTTATCATTTTTGTAATTGAATTTATATTTTTTACAATTATTTATCCTGGGTGATACAAAAAAATTAATGAATGAGTCAATTTTTCTTATTGATTAAACCAGGAACTCGAAAATTTGGGAATACAATAATATTATTATTAGTATTACACTGCACCTACATTACATATATGTATATATTTATTTTAACTCTAGAGGTTCTCATAAAAAAAAAAATCGGTTGTCTGTAAAGTCGGTTTACTGACGATAGTTGAACGTGACAACGTCTTAAGAAAATACTGATGGAATGGTAGCATTTTTCAAAAGAAAATTTTAATTTCATTTGTCTAATAGATTTGTATGTATATAGAGAAGGAGGTAATTAGAAATCACAATGAAATTGATCAAGTTAGATTTTTTCGCTTGCACTTCAAGCCTTACATGGAACGCCTCAGAGCGAGGTAACGCCGCATGAGTCATGTTTTTTCGTGCGTGTAGCCGGCTCAATCGGATTATAAGACGTTGTCACGTCAAAAAATAAATTCACAAAATCAAATTTAGTAATTTTTCGAAAAATATGTTTTATTGTACTTCAGGGACGAGGAAAATTCGACCATTTTTTTATAGTACAGCATTGTATTAAATCAAATTAAATGGTTTTAAAAATGCCTCGATTTGATTAATTAATATTTAACGTTCATTTGTTTTTTTTTTTTGTCTACGACATTCAACTTTTTTTTTAATGACACTATATATTTTTAACAGACTTTTGTGTTTTTTGTCTGAATTCATTTATGTATCATGGCATATTTTGCTGAAAAGTTATGATAAAAATTGGGGTAATCATTCCTGCCAACAATATGATATCATCTCAAAATTTTTCATAGTGAGTTTAAATTTTATGAAATCCTATACTCCTGTACTTTGAATCCGCCTTGGGATTTTCCCTGACGCATCCAAATTTCCGCAAAATATCAAAATTATAAAAAATAAAATTCGTTAGATTATCTGGTGGCGGCTCGTCCATCGGGTCAATTGGCCAATGGCCCCCAAAAAATATTCGTAGAACTGTACCATGACATGAACAAAAAATTCAGCAACAAGACAACAATTCTCATTCGCGGTTCATTGGGTCAATTATAAATGTTGACCTCACGGAGAGTTTCATGCGTAGAGATTTCCTTTGAGTGGGAATGAAATAAACTTACAGCAAAAACCGCTTACGGCAGACAGTGTCAAATATATCCCCATAAGAAGCAACGTGGTCAATGACCAATGACAGAGTGCGGAATTTCACGATGCACATTTCATTTCATTTTCATAAATTCTAGATTATATCAAATTTTGTAGTGCATTTGAAAAATGAAGAATCCAATAATCGTAGCTTTCGTGCTTTAATTCACCGGCGGAACTTGACTTATTTTTAAAAAACATTTATAGGAAAATTCTAATTTTAAGGGGTCTTCAAAAATAATTCAGACTAAGTTGCTTAAATTAATTTAACTTATTGCACAATGTAATTGAACTGATATTTTCTTAACTAATTAAATCGAATCGAATATTTTCATTGACTTGAAAAATGTACTTAAAATTTGAGGTCAAACAGCCCTTAATTATAACACCATTCAAAATTTCAACGTAATTTCTTTTTTAGACAAATCTGAAGTTTATTTTGTCCTCTCAGACAAGCTGACTGTAAAGAAAAGAAAATGAAGTTGCGCATTTGGTAAACGTAGGCAACCAACCTTGCGTTGAATTTTTTCAAATAGCCTTTTGTAACGTCGCGTCACCAGTATACACTAGTAAATTACACTTATAGTTACACATGATGTGATATTTTCCGCCTTGGTGGTATTACGAAGATATTTTTATTATATTTTAATTTATTCAGTTTTACGCATTGTTGAGAAGATTGAAATATTTGATTTCTAATTAAAGTTATGTAGTCTGAATAACTGTTAATCAACCTAAATTTCAAAATAGGAATCTGATTTCTGAGATAAACTGCGGAAATCCATTAAATGCCACTACTAGGAATGTATTTTTTGCAATACGCTATGTACAACTTCATATTCACTGATGTCTCAATTAGCAATTATCTTGACCACAGCTGCTTTTAATTTATTTTTTAACTATCATCGTTATCGTCACACATCAAAGCCGACTTAGAAAATGAAATCTAACTCCAAACATACTTCCTTCCAAAAGAATATATTACTTTCATCTTATTACGGTGTGAAAAACGAGTCAATGGAAATCTCATGAACCTCAGCATAAAACAAAATTGTCTTCGTTTTTCTTACTTATTTCCCGCATTCACGTCAAGAAAACCGATTTTCCTTCAGATGCAATATTGGTAAACATTACACACTGCGCATGAGATCACAGTAAATGTTTCACACTCTTGTAAATCCACCCAAATTTGGTTGCTTTGATGTTCATGAAATAACTCAAAACTAATTACACTAAAATTCAGCCAAATATGGGGTCGACATGTTAACAGTGTAATAATTGATGAGCTTACCCTTAGCATGTATTTGACGTAGTGACGTCAGCGACTGTCCTATCTGTGCTACGCACCGCACCATTTCAGCTGATAATTCGGTTATGTTTGTTTTGTAGAAATCCCAGCTCAAGCAGTTTAGTCCTGTCAGAAACGGGCTCACTGGACAGGGCGAAGGCGGCTTATGAAAGACGCAAGAAAACCCAAATCCAGGATTCTGATACGGGAGTGGTGTCAGGGAGAGTGGAAAATACTCGAGTAAACGCTAATCGGTTAATAGCGGAGATACTGAAAGACACAAATCTTGACCAAGCTGACGACTCGGCGGAAAGTGAGTTGACATCAGTTGGAGTAGGTATTATCTGGGCACATGTTGAAGATTCAGCACCTGTTGATACATTTTCTAGTAGAATTTCTATTAAGTAAATTGCAGTGTTGGTGCTTCTTTAATATATACACAGATGATTTTTATAACTTTTGTATCAAAATTATATTTATTGTAATTGTTTTTGCAGCTTCAGGTCTTCAGCTATTTATTGCCAAAGATGGTACCGCTGCGTTAGGGAACCACGAGGTGAAGTCTCAAATGTCGACAGGAGTGCAAGTTTTCAAACAGGTTGTCATGGACGACAACAGGTAGTCAATATAGGAAATGTGTGTTGTGTCGCAGTATAGAAGAGCTTTTGAGTTGATTTTATTGATGTAAAAGTTTGCTGTAGCTTATATTTGGGAAGTGCAGTCAGTATTGGTTTGTGTCGTCTTCGAGCTACGAAATTTTTATGTCAATATTGAGGTTATTGTATTAGACAGTGTTGCCAATTTTTGTGATATAACAGCGGTAGCGTAAACGTTATAGGTACTCTGATTTAAGTTAAATATGATTGACATTATTATTTATTGTAAATTATTATTGTGTTAAATGTATATTATTTATTATTCATTTTTAAGTTATTAGTAACCTTGTATAAAGTCGTTTTAAAATGTACATACATACACAATAAAAATTAGAGTTAAACTTCAGTTTGTTTTCTTTATGACGTCAGTGTGTTATAATAGTACTCAATTAATTTATTGTCGTACTAATGACATGCATCGATCCACTTAAATAAAACCCGTTCATGATAAAGAATTCAGTTAAGTATATCAATGAATGTAGAAAAAGGTCGTTAAATATTTTCAAAAGATAGGTACACATCTTTATAAGTGTCTCTCTTTGTTATACATACTCAAGAATGTATGTCAAACACATCATATGTCAACAACTGCAGGCACCTTAAATAAAAACGCCTGCAAAAAATAAATATGTCCATATAGCCATAAATATTATTAAAATAAACTTTCAAAACATAACATAAAGAGATCTTTAGATTTATCTTCTGTGAATATTTTTTCTTTTGCACAATATTGTCAACTCTTACAAGATTTCAACGATTAGATTATTGGAAAAAAAGTGAACCATTTTAGAGATTACGTTCAAAATATTTGTGAATCTTCACTTACCGACTAATTTTGTCTAAGTGTATTGTGGGTTGCCTTCCGCACAGTGACAAAGTTTTACACTACCGATTGCCCGAGTTGTTATTGACGCTAAAATTTAGGTCTGTAATAATTATCATCACCGGGAATGCCTTAAATAGAGTTTTTATAATGACTCTTGTAATAACCCAAACTTCTAGCCTTTAAATTAACCTTGAAAAAGTTTGAAAGGCCCACAAAAAATTTAAAAATCCAAAGTTTGACCTTGGCTGTGATCGTCTAACAAATAGGAACCTACGTTGTGTTTTTTTTTTTTTGTTTTTGAAAAATGGCGGGAAGACGTTCTTTCATACAAGTGCATACACCGTCGAGACCGCAAGAAATAATAGACAAAATTGTTTTGGAGGGGGGAGCACTTCACCCCCTCACAGGAGGAAAGACGCTGCGAAGATTTACTCCTCAGCGCAAAAACCCTCTTTTGTTTTATTCTCGGACATATTGCATTTCAAACATCTTAAGATATATGAAAAAAAGGACACTCGCGAATTGACAGACATACACATTTAAAAAACGAACAAACGGAAAATTCTATACATCTGTTTGGAATCAATGCAAATATTTGAATATCACAAATTTAATAAAACAAAGCAAAAACTGAATCAAGTAACTGGATACAAATACACAAGTTATTGCGGGCGTGTGGCGGCTGATTTTTAAAGTTACGGCAGTTAACGGGAGCACAACAAAGGTACCCCTGGGGTGTTGTAACACAAGCGGAGTTTGGGGCTACCGGTCTGGAGCTCTTCTCCCCCCACGACGGTGATCACAAACCCTACCCCATACGCATATCTCCATTACGAACGTGCCCTGCGGAACTAGGCCATTACGGTCGCCAGACCCGTAAGTGGATTTCGACTATTGGTCCAAGTCGAGAGCACTACAAACCGGCGGTCGTCCCTGAATCTATCCAAACCTCTGGGCTTGTACAGGTGACACGATAAATCTCGCCAGCTCGACTAGAAACCGAACTTCGCTTCTGCCACGTTTTCTGTGTCATTTAACCTCAATTCCATTTTCAAATATTCAATCTCTTATAACTTTGATATTAACAACAACTGAACGAGTGTTAAAGTTTCAAAGAGCAATAAACAACAGTTAAATTCGCCATACAATCTTGTGAATTCTTAAACAACAAATAATTCTTATGTGAGATTAAAAATGGGACATTAAATAATTTATATGATAGAAACATTCATCAACAAAGTATTTACAAAACAAAACTTAGCAAGGATTTATGAAACAAGAGATCTGGTGTGAAATGAACTTGTGCAAATAAAAATATTATGTGAGGATAAAACTGTAGAACATGAAATTTACGTTCAATTATAATTATGCAATAAATAAAATTACTGAGGTTAAAATTGTGAGATTAAGAAATATAGTATGAGGTGGTAAAATTTCAAGTTAACAAAATTTACAGGAGATTGATATTTGCCACACTTTATCAACGGTTCAAACAAAGAGTTTACATTATGTTAAATTATGTCTTGATCCAAGTGATTGGTTACTTAAAAAAAAAACAATTTACTTTGAGAGTTTAAAATACCGCGAACTGGTTACCCCAACAAAACACATAATAAACAAACACAAAAATATCCAGTCATCGCTCCGAGGGAAAAAGGGTCTCGCTGATGTTATTAATCTCTAGCGTCCCGAGGACGAACCTCTACCAATCTGTGGCGTTGTGAGGGCATGCCTCGATTAATTAATCAATCTGGAGCGTTGTGATGGCATGCCTAGATGAATTAATCAATCTGTGGCGTTGTGAGGCATGCCCCGATGAATTAATCCTGATAACGATGATAACTACCTAAGGGAAGAAAATATCATAACCCCCGCCAGTTCGCAGTATAATGAACTTGTTTAACTGCCGTAAATGAACTATTAACAATCTTGTGTGAAGAATTAAGAAGTGTTATAATGTAACGCTTACGTATATGCATCCAGAAGCTTATTCGTAATTAAACAATAAGGTGTTTTCCTGACTAAGTGAATTTCATGAAATCTTCTAGCAATTAGTTTATTTAAATAATCCTGATTGTTAAATTGTGTTTGCACTAGCTGACTATTAAGAAAAACTAACTTGATTGGTGAATTTACAAACAATGAAACAAATTTACAGCACGTGTTTCGTGTGGACCGAAAGTTCGCATCTTCCAATTAAAAGGCCGCAAGAATTGACCGCGCGGGTTGGGGACAACTGTATCATTATGAAAGTTCCGATTGATTGTCGTTAAACAAAGGCTTCCTCCCGTTTTATTAACTACCAAACCAACTAATTTAAACCTAGCGCTAACCACGTGGTTACACTCACACAAGCACATTCAGAATGATTCTACGCCATGCAGCTTCTCCACCAACCAACCAACCAACCAACCCTCTAACTAAAAACTCCCTAGCGCTAAATTGTCACGCTACTAAACAAGCATCTCCGCGTACCAGGTTGCCTATGTTTAACGATTTCCTTTTTGTGAATGAATTTTTTTTTCTTTCAAATTCAAATTATTCAAGTGTGATTTCGCGCCGCTGTTAATTAATTTCAGCGCGAAAACTTTGATTTAAATTCGGTCACCACACTCTATAAACTTTTCAGTAGAGTATAGAGTTTAATCGAAAAAAAACCTGTAACAAGCTTTGAAATTTAAAGTTGAAAACATTATGTTGGCAACCACAGCAGTACGTGTGCGGTTTGACAGTTAAGGTCAAATAGAAATCAAACAGCTGCAATACCAACATTATTTTAAAAATTATTTTATGATCTACTAGAAGACGTTTTTCGATCACACAGTAGATCAGTTTTACACATACGGTGCAATACAAATTTCTAGCAAGAGCACTGTGATAACCCAAACATCCCGCCTTAAATTGACAAGTGAAAGAAATTTGAAAAGAACGCGAAAATTTCAAAAAATCAAAAATTTGGCCTTGGCTGTGATCGTCTAACAAAATGGAACCCTAAAATATGTTCGGATGCAAAGTGGTGGACACCAACACTTACCCATAGGCAGCGTTGTAGCACGAGCGGAGTTTGGGGCTCCTGGTTGTGGCTGCTCTCCCACCACGACGGTGATTCTATTCTAGCGGCAAGCACATGCCGCCCAGCACTCTTCTATCACGAAGAACCGTACCGCGCCAGTAGGCCGTTACGTTAAGATCTGCGTCGTTTGTACAGATGGCGCGATAAATCCCAAAAGCTCGACTAGGAACCGCGCTCTCCGCTTCTGCCACGTGTTCCTGTGTTATTTACCCCAATCCCATTTTAAATGTTCAGCTTCTATAACTCTGATATTAAACTACAACTGAGCAAGGGTTAAAGTTTCAAAAAGAGCATAAACAACATTTAAATTCTCCATACACTCTCGTGAAATTTTAAAGAGCAAAGAATTCTTACCGGAGATTAAGATTGGACAGCAGACAATTTATATGATGGAACCCCTAATCAACAAAATATTTACGTGGTCAGACAAACTAGCAAAGATTTATAAAAACAAACAAGATCTGGTGTGAAGTAAAACTTGTGCAGACAAGAAAATTGCGTGAAGTTAGGAACTGCAGAGCATGAAAATTTACGTTCATTTTAATTTATACAGCAAAGAAAATTACTGAAGCTAAAATTGCGAGATAGAACAGATAGTGAATAATTGCATGAGGTGAAAAATTGCAAAGCTAACAAAATTACATGAGGGTAATATTTGCCACACTTTATCAACGACTCAAACAAAGAATTTACATGATGTTAAATTATGCATTGATCCAAGTGACTGGTTACTTAAAACACTTAGCTTTGAGAGTTTATATCATGCGCTTTCCCCAGCTTATCCCAAACAAACACATGATTAATAAACACAAAATGCATCCCTCATTGCGAGAATTATGTCTCGATGCTGTGATTTTCCTCGTCGCGAGAAATATGTCTCGATGATGATAAGTGCCTAAGGGGAAAAATTTAATCCCCCAGTGCCTCAGTCCCCGATATTATGAATTTTACCGCACTTTTCAGTGTTATAATGTAACACTTAAGTATAAGCATCCAGAAATCTTATTTATAACTTGATAAACAAAGGATGAGTCCTCACTAAGTAAATTTTATGAAATCTCCTAGCAAATGCTTTACCTGAACAAACTCATGACTGCTAAATTATATTAGAACCAGTTAGTTAACGATTAAAATCCTAACATGAATTGTGAATTTACAGTCAATAAAACAAATTTACATCACGTTGGGGTTGAGGAAATTGTGGGGTCGTCGTCGTTACGATTAATTTTCGTTAAACAAAGGCTTCCCCTTTTTTTTAACTACCAGACTATCTAAACTTAATCTAGCTTCCTTACCGCGTGCCTTCACTCACAACAAATAAAACAACAGTGACGCCACAGAACAGAGTGACTCATCTCCACCCTCTTCCAAGCAGGCCAAGTTCTACCAACCCTCTCACTAGATACTCCCCAGAAATTCCCTAGAAGACCTACCAACTATCAGAAAAGAACTAAATTTGCACATGGTTGCCTATGTTTAACGATTTTCTTGACTGATTTTTTTTCAAATTCATATTATTCAAATGCGATTTCGGGCTGCTGTTTTTTTTTCAGCGCGAAATTTTAATTCAAATCGGGTCACCACAATATCACATGGCGGTCTGATTCACTAGGATTGGAAATCCGGTATTCTAGATAAACATTCACATGAAAACAGAACACAGAAAAAGCTCTCAATTTCGCTCCGCTTCCACCACGCGATCCCGTGCGTTTATTGTGGTTCGACGAAAACGAGTACTGTAGTTACAAGAAAGGACTGAATTATGCCACATTCTATTAACAGTTGTGGACAACAAAAATTTTAAACTGTGAGAAAATGAACATTAAATATTCCTCCCATTTCGAGTCCACGACGATATTTATTTAACTGATGATAATTCTCAAGGTGCTTTCTCTTAAAATGGATAAACGTTTAAGACTAATGTAAAAGCTTAATGTTTTTGATTAAGAGAACCCTAAATATATCGTGAAACCTGAATAAGTTTTATATGAAAATTTACACTATTGCAGTTAAGTTATATTGGCAGCAAGAACAGTTAAAAATCCAAACATAAACTATGAAAGTATAAACAATAAAACAAAAATCACACAACGAATAGTCGAAATTTTAAAACATTCCAGAGAAGAAAATCATTAATTAATTGCTGTTACACTAATAATTGTACTCGTTGGGGAATCCGATTCATTTTGTTTAGACAATTGCCTAGATCAAAATGGGTTCACAAAAGTCACATCGTGGACCAAAACTAAACCCCATATCATCTACAAACAAAAAACGTATGAAATAAACACAACAGGTACATATTCAATGCGTTCAAAATCAATAATTCGAGAATAAATATTCAAATTCAGTCTGTAAAAAATGCTAAAACGTATAAGAAAAAATAAAGCCCTCCCATTTTCAAGTCGATGATGAAAATTATTATCTAACTGATAATAATTTTCAAGGTCCCTTCTCTCAAAATGGATCGATCTTTAATACTAGTTTAACTGAGCTATAAATGAATTATATAAATGTCGAATGGGACGTTACCAATAAGTGTGGATAATGTAATAGCTTGACTGAAAACACCTGAAACTTTAAGATATATCGTTATTCGTTATTAAAATGAGTTAGTCAGGTCAGGTCAGGTCAGGTTGTATTGCTATTAGAGCAATACAACAAAAATATTACAATTATTTTATATTAGAAAATTGCTAACTAACTGGTCTTACACTAACAACACTCGGTGAGGTGTCGAATGCGATTAATTTTTATTTAAAGAATTGCCTTTTGGTGAAATTACACAAAAATTTACGCATCAATTTTTACACGCGTTTTCACAAGCAACACCAAAACAAGAAGTTGCGTGTCAAAAACAGAAAGTGACAACATTCTTCAGAACTACCAAACTAAGGGTGATTCTTTTCGCTATTTCCCCAAAACGCACTAGAACATAGTGATTACCTACGTTCTACGTTATTGAATGATTTTTTTTTATTTTTCAAGTATAAAATCAGACCAAGATTAAATATTCAAAATTACAAAATTCTGAGATAATGTTATTAAATGGGGATGACTAGACACATTTTGGTTAGCTCTTTACCATCTACACGGCTACAAAAAATATTGAAATCGAATGTGAAGCAACTTTATAAATTTATAATAACATATATTTATTTGAAATTTCAAATGGATATGAAATTTTAGGTGAGACTTCTTTGAAATTAATTTTTATGTCCGGCAATACTCTCACTTTATGTAGCAACTTAGTTATGTGCATTACGTAAATAAGATTTTATTGTTGTCATCTGATATAAATCTTATTATAATATGTGTACTCAGAGAGTAACTGTCTTCGTCTAACATAAAGGTAGTAGTTTTAAAAAATCAGTTCTTTCAGTTGTGACGGAACACTGAGGAGAAAACCTTCACCACACCCGTTAGTTTTTTTGTGTATGCATATGTAACAATATTTCTTTTGATAAAAATACTTTCAAACGTTCAAGAAAAATGTGAATTATTGCAAAACTCATCGTTTACTTAGTGCAGAGAGTTATATATTAAACTCTTGCATAAATCACATAGTTACTTAACAAGTGATACAACATCATCAAATTTTTCGCGGAATATTGCGATGTTTATACTCAACTCAGTACGTGTATTTTTAATATCATTAATATATGGACAACGAAATTACGAGATATTAAAAATTGTTGTTATTATTGTTGGTTTAAGACCACTAATCGAAAAATTTTGATGTATAATGTGCACCAATGACGTTGACGTCGTTGTTTAGTGCTGACCAATATGATCAGAGTGTTTGAAACGCTGACGAATAACATGACACGCGTTTTTGAATTTCAGCAGTTATTGATTGCTTTAAATCTGAACTATTTTGTACATACTACGTTTGAAACAATTAAACACAAAATTAAGTTGTTGATATTAGTTTATTTTTCATGGACAACTATTGTAAATATTTTGAAATAAAGGTTATAATATTGTGCTGAAAATTACTTTCACCGCTAACGGTTTTACCATCACGTGAGTAATCTATCTGACCTTTGGAGCTCTGGAGCATCCGACAAGTTTAGATTTAGACTCTGCCGCGCCCAAATTATAAAACTTTACATTTTCCAATCTGATATTTATCATACAAAATTCCCTAAACTCGTTTTGTAATTTTCATACTGTGGTGCCCCGATTTGAAAAATTAAATTTCGCATTGAGAAAAAAAAACAACGGTGCGAAACTAGGCTTAAAGACCGAAACATTAATTTAACGTTATGTCAATTATTTTTTGCTTGAAATTCATGATCGCGTGATGGTTGTCATTGTTCATGTGAATCTTTATTTGCAATTGACGCACATCAAAAGAATTGTCGTAAAAATTGGGTTTTACAATTACACAAAATATTTGTCAAAGTTGTTTTTCTTTTTTCTTGTTAAGTAAAGTTTTAAAGCAAATTTCAAAATCATAAAGTGATATTTATATATTTTAGTTACCACGAATATCAACCAAATCCCTGTCTTATTATTCACAGAAATGCAAAATGCGATTCACAGGAAAATACATCTCAAAGTCGTTAAAATGATATTTGAAGAGCACAAAAAGTACTTCATTACAATTAGATACTCATTATATCAAATTAAGTAATTGAAGTAGGTACATTGAATTTTTGTAATCGCCTGACACACAGACGGAAACGGACGACCGACATTTCCATATTCTACAACCTGTGAAATTTAATTCCTGGCGCAACTTCTTCGCATACTCTCGTTGTAACGGTGTTTTGTCATCTCTAATCCAAATATTTATTACCTAACCTCCACTTTTCACCAAGTGCTAAATTTTACAAACAACTGACATAAAGTTTGCTAGGTCAGTTCCATTACTTCATAGTCTTTTCCTAGCGGTACCAAAAACCCGAGAAATATTATTTATTTTGTAACTTGCAACTGATGCGTTACATAAAACGCATAGGTATCTCGTTCTGTAACCCATATAAACAGGTTATTTTGATTTTGGCGATTACTTTCACCTTTTCTTAGATAACACTGTGTTAACTACCGAGAGAATTTCAATTTTTCCATAATTCCAAACAATAATGTATTGACCCGACCGACCCCGTTGCCATTGTTATGAAAGAACCCTAACACATCGCACAATTTTCTTGCAAACCCAGAATGTGATGGCGAGCAACGGGGTGCGCAATTGACGCATTTGTAAACTCATCCCACGCAGAGTGCACTGGCGTACATAAGATTTTTTCTTAGCATACGATGGACTATTCGAACCGCAAACCAATGTCACGCCACTGGAACTACCCTTCCACTGCGCCCTTGTGACTTCATCTGCGCACTTGTATCCCCACCGCTCGCCATCACATCTGGGTTTGTTTTTTTTTGTACTTACCGCACGCGTAAGTCGTAAGTGAGACCGCATGTTACGGTCAATTTACCCCACTGTTACCAATTCTTGTATCCCTACCAAGTACCGCGATGCACATTGCGTTAAATCTTATAAGAATTTACCAACAAGCCGGCTTTTCCTCAATATTTTTTTGACGTTTGTAAAAGACAGTTTGAAATTAAATGAGAAGTTGCAATGTTTGTGGTTTTGTTATTTGTGTTAAATGCGGTTGTGCTTAGTAATTGTGTAAACGAAGCACTTGTAGGACAGTCAGTGCTTTATGGAATATCGTATTTGGCGCAAGAAGATGCCGATTTTTCGTCGGCATGTCAGGAAGAATTGGCGCTTTTCTACAAGTCGGTGGAAGAGCAGAAACCGTGGGCTTTAAAAGGTAGGAAGTTTTTGCACTAGATGTAAAATATTGTTTTTATATATCCTCGAAACGATAATAATTTAGTAGATAATCTAGATTTGTTTTTCAAAATAAAATCAGTAGGTAGTTTCGTACACCTGACGTAAACTAAATTCCTAAATCAAAATTAGTCAAAAAAGAAATTGAGACACCTTTAACAATACATAGCACCAAAGATAACTATTATTACGTTTTTATTAACGACAAACGAATGTAGTTTTTGGTATTATTTATTTGTATCGTATTTAGTTTAGTACCGGAACTAAATTTCTACGTGAGTAGCTAAAAGTGTTATTATTAGGTTCCGAATGGGTTTTTGTTTAAAATGTTTCTATTGAATAATCGAATCAAAGTATTATTTATAACGGTTACGATCTTAAAACTTCTACTTTCAGACCACTTATAATTTCCTACAAAGTGTCATAGTACTTTTTTATGACAAGTTGCTTGTGATTTAATATCTTTACATAATTATTAAAATTTAAAAATTATTTAAAGAACTATTTTTAGTTCCTGCTATAAAGGGTGTTTAGACTCCCTCTTAATTTTTTTTTTTTATCAACTGAACATGAAATAGACATGTAAGTAGAGCATATCATTGTAATTTAATGGTCTATCAAAATCCATCAAAAAAAGTGACGTTGCAATTTAAAAAAATATAGGTATTGCTTTTCTCAATCAAGCTAAAAACAATAACGTTTACGGAATTTCAATATCTCTATCCGTTCTTCTATCTTAGTTTTTGCCTTGTTTGGGAGTTAATTTCAAATACTACGTTTACAAAATATCCGCATTAAAATTGATTTTATTAAAAACTTCAAAGTAGACATACAAATTCAGTTCCAAGGCTGAATCGTTTACAAATTATGTTGCTCATCCCCTATATATAGATCAATAATCATCAGTGAATCTCTCCAAAAAATTTTTAATTTTTGGTGAAACCGAACATGAATTAAGGCATAATTTAACCCCGTGTCAATTATTTTTTGTCTGACATTTTTGTTCGCGTGACAGTTGTCATTGTTCACGTGAATCTTTATTTGTTAATGAATCAGACCGTCTAGCTGGCTACCTCCTTTCCGAGGATGCAACTAGATTTACAAGGATGTTTAAACTTCCATTTCTAAAAGATTCTCCACAATAAGGGTCATCTCGGGATTTGTTTGTAAAACGTTTATTACCAAAGGCATTTTATCGAAACGAGTCAGTGTAAGTTTGACGCTGTCTTACAGAGCATTTACAAGCAAGCAATAGCCCCGCCCATCCACCCCCTCTTCATTCTAGTAATTACTCTTAGTATTGTTCAGTTATTTACCAAAATCAGTCTTATCTTAACAAATACTAGCCCCGCCCACCCGCCCTCTCTTGTCCTAGAGTGTATGTAATTTGCCAAACTCAGTCTTATCATAGCAAGTGCTAGCCCCGCCCACCCACCCTCTATTTTCGTGGAAGATGTCATTTGCCAAAATTAGTCTGATCTTAATAAGAACATATAATTAGCCCCGCCCATCCTCCCCACCTTCATTTCAGTGATTCATTTTATCAACCAGAATGAAAACTGGATCGCATAGTACTTGCTAAGATAGAACTGATTTTGGTAAAGGGCGTATCTTATAAGAAAATGAAGGGTGGGTGGGCGGGGTTAGTATTTGCTAAGATAAGACTGATTTTGGGAAATTACACACACTCTAGGAAAAGAGGGCTAGTAGTTGAAAGGATTAGATTGAGAGGCAAGTATAGGCATATGCATGTGTTGTCCGAGGAAGCAAAAATTCCACCTTCTTTATCCTTTTTTTGCCACATTATGCTTGAAAAACACACTAATTCAATAGCTATGGAAACGGGAGACCTATTTTTACATATCTAGAGGTCACGAAACGTCGAGAAAACATGAAAGGTACAACAAGCAAAAAGACAATAAAAGTAAGGTTAGGGACGTTTTATGTGACAGTTATTATTTATTAATACTGGTGTAAAATTAAAACCAAAGTGAAAAATCAGGATCTTAGTTTTTGCCTTACAAAATATCGACAATTGAAATTAATTTTATTAAAAACTTCAAATCAATTACAAATTATGTTACACGTCCCCTATATAGATCAAATCATCAAAGTACTTCTCCCAAAAAGTTTTAATTTTTGGTTAAAATAACTTGAAAAAATGCATTTGAAAAAAAAAAGCATAAAACGGTTGTACCTTTTTTTTTCAATACATTTCTCATGGAATTCTCGGTAGGCAGTAAAAACTAAGTTTAATGATAAGTTAAATACCAAACAAAAGTGTAATAAAAAAATTTAGCGCTTTCTGTCTAAGAGTGAACACCATACAATTTTTAATAACAGAGAGAATAAATAATGCTCGTTTTTTTTAGTACTGAGGTATTTTTTACATGGTGTAAACACCACGTGACTCTTAATCATTGTATTTTTTTGTGACGTTGGCAACATATTTAAAATTTTCGCCCGTGTCAAACTGTGAACTGACATGTTAACATTGCTGTCAATAATTCAGAATTACCAACACAAAAATTTGCCTCAATCATTAATAGTCACCTAAATACTGTTACCGTTAAAGAATAATACGATGTGATTCAACTTTCAGAAAATAAAAAAAAATAAAGACTAATATTTTTTTCCTCTGAAACTTTACACATTAAAACTGGTTTTTGGATCACACTGTTTGTATTCCACATGAATTTTACAGAAACGTGTATGGTAGGAGGAGTAATAATAATACTCATTCAGAGTAGGCGTTGGAATATCATTTAACACAAACAGCATAATAACATATAGCATATGTATAACAGGTTATGTTTCTGCCAAATGGATGTTATAAGAACAGAGATGCCGTTTGTGTCAAATGAAATTCCAACGCCTTCTCTAAGTGATTTTTCAATTGATCACCCATTAACATTAAACTAAACCAATAAAAGAACTATCTACTGTTAGTTATACGAAAATCTTAGATAAGTTAGTAGGCAGCAACTTTTATATAAATGGGATTTCGCTCATCATAATTTCGAAATAGTATATTCATTCGTTTTTAGACAGTATTTTGTAGAACGTGTTTTTTAATTACAAATAAGAGGAGACTCTGGAAACAGAAGGTGTGAACGACGTAGGGCGTAGTTTAATTAGTCAATTTGTCTCAATGACAGTGACATTCACAATCGCGGTCATACAATCTTGGACGTCATTTTTCTATCATTTTGAAAATTTTCGTGTAGTCTATGCCTTGTTGTCGCTGGATACGAAATGATAAATTCAAAATATTTTAGGTTATATAACTAGTTATCAGTGTATGTCAAATTCATCATAAACATTCGTCTCGAAGGGTTTTCCAGAAATGTTTCTAAAAAAACATAGGATTGAAGTATAATTTGGCAGCTTTTACCAGTCATTCGCACCTTCAAGCTATTTTTTTTTTCTAACTTGACATAGCTGTCAGTCGTATCCACACTCTTAAAAACGACATAATACATCAAGGCACTCTAGTCTAGTGTCACCATGGCCGTAATGTCAAAAATGACAAAACTTAAAAAATGAGGTTACAATGCTGAACGGTGACAGTGGAATGAAAACTTTTATTTCCAGTGCCTCTCCTTATGTCAAATTTAAAAAATCTCGGAATTATATAGTTCAACTCAAAAAAAAAAACAGAATCTGGCACTGACGACCACTTTTTATGAGTGGGGTTGTATATACTACTAATGAGATTTGAAAATCTGAACAGAATTATATATTAGTGCTTAAGAGTCGTGATTATCATCTTATATAATAACGTTGCCACTAACCTACATTTTTTCTAACATAAAAATTCGTTACGTTTAATAATCAGAAGTTATTTTGTGTTTTTTAAAACGCTTCCAGCCATGTTCTATGAAAACAACATAACTACCTAAATATTTGTTGTTGCATTATTGTTATATAACAAAGTGGCTAATATTTTTAAATTTGGGAGAAACTGTTATGAGTTATGACCCACTTATACAGTAACATTAATTATTTTTAAAGTAGTACGAACAAAGAACTCTTGCAAAATATCCAGCAGTGAGGGGTTTATTACATTATAATGCTCACTTACGAAAAATAGTGTCAGTTGAACGCAGTAATAAAAAGCCAGTTCAATGGGATGTTAAATAGTATACACAAATGGCGCCTTCTCAATTCTTTCAGTTTTAAGTACAATAAAATTAAAATATACATACTTCAATACATAAAATGTCAGGAAAAGCGAAGCAAAGTGTAATATTTTTTTCACCTTCCCCTATTTGTGTTCAAATTTTGTAATAAAAATTTATAGACATATTCAAAGTTGAAAAATTCACTGAATAAAAATTTTGAATCGTTTTCACCGACAAATACTTATTTACTAAATAAATAATTGCTTTATAAGAATATACACATTTCGCGATAATGTTTACTATTGTCTTCATTGTTCCTGATGCTTTTAGCAAACACAGCTGCACTCATAATAATTCCTGTCTTAAATTTTTCAAAAATTATTATCACTCTTTTTTTTTCAAACGACTTTATTGTCTCAATTCAATTATTAATTGACGCAAATTTAATTTTATGTTATTGTTTTATATAGTTTGTCCAACAATATGTAGACTAACAAACGTTTCATCTTATTTTCTTGAAATTAAAATTTTTGCGTAACCATTTATATAATCAAAATCACTATTCGCGCCATAGTTTTGTAACACAACTACATAGAGTCACCAAATTTTCCAAAATACTAATAAACCCTCAAAACCGTCATTTTGACCAAAACTGTGTCACATTCACCGCATAATTTTCAAACTTTCACTCGAACAAATACCGACTAAGCAAACCCTTTCCCAGTTTGTAAAAACCCAATTAAAATTCATGTTTTCAGTTTTGGATGCAAGCGGAAATCCAGGTCCCGGTTTCTTCTACGGCAACAACCTCTGGCTGGGTTCTTACGCACAATGTGAAGATTTAGACAACACCAGACGCTTCGAAATCAACTACGAAGTCGTCAAGCACCCCAATAGCACCCCGTACGATTTTCCTCCCTTTCAATTGGGCTTTTTCGTAGCCCACATTCAGCATAATAGCACCATGCAGCACCACAGTCAACTACCTCTAGAGGTAAGAGATTCATTCAGTTTTAGCTGAACTTGAACTTTACGAGTGGGAAAATTGTGGCCTCGTTTTGTGAAAGTTATTGCAGAGGAAAGTAAGGTAAATCGTTTTGGTTGGTTTTATAACGCAGTCTTGTGTGATATTATGGCGATGCAATCTTTTATTATATAAGGACTTAATGAGTGTTTTGCTTTTAGTTGGATTTGTAGGTTAAAGTTATTCGTTTTTTTGGGAGTTATGTAAAGTATTGGTAACACGCTTTTTAATAAGTGCAGTTACAAAAATGTGTATCGATTTAGCGGTAGTTGACTTTTACATCCTTTAAATTCGCTATGTGCCAATTCTTGCGTCATTAACGATGATTGTTCGTGGTTATAAATAAAACATACTGAGAGCTAGGTACCCGGAAGATGTACAAATCCAAGATTTTTTTACTTTGAATTTTATTGTAAACGTCAAATATTAACACATTAGTCAAATACTTCGGACTAGATGTTCTCAGAAAACCTATTTGAGCACAGTTCGTTACATAACAATTTACTTATTTCCTGACATTGTAACAATTATAAATAACATCCTAATATTTAAATTTCTCCAGTTGACTCTATGTATCTTTTTCAGTTTACCATACGAACTGGACTTTGCGCCCCTCGGTCTTGTTCAACACACGATTTAGGTTCTTTGATTGAACAGTACCTCGACAATAGAACCCTCACCGTTCAAAATTTATACAACTTGCAGTTAATTTTAACCATGGTGAGGTCTGTAGAACCACTTGGCTTGTGGTTGTTCCAACTGCCAAAAACCATTGTCTTACTGTAAGTTAGTCCGATGCTTTAAATATGTCAATAACACAAAAATCAACAGAACACTGGTTTTTGTCGTTCTAATTTTGGCAATCGTTGGTACTTGTTACGACGTTCGACAGCATCAACGGTCCAAGAATCTTATTACCGGTCATCGAGGTAATCTTACAGGAAAACCGAGTAATAGTGGTAATGTGGCAACTTTCTGTCTCTTGCTCAATCTTGAGTTATAAAAATTCTAGTGTCTGAAGTGGAACTGGTATCTAATTCTTCGTCGGAAGACGAGAGGACAAGCACCTTGGGTGAAATCCTCAAATGCTTCTCTTTATATTCAAATATAAAGAACTTAGTAAAAAGTGATTTACCACCAAATTCTGTGACTATTATTCATGGTTTAAAATTCTTTGGCATGTTGTGGGTGATTATGGTACATGCTGTATTCTACCAGTCAGACTATTTGGACAATATGGGTGTGGCTTACAGACTATCCGAAGACATTTTTGCCCAAATATTAAGTAATTCAACATACTGTGTTGACACATATCTGTTTCTCAGGTACTACTACTTGTTTCCTGTTATTCAGCTACACACACGTTTTATTTTTAGTGGATTCCTGTTAGCTTATCTCTTTTTTATGGCGAAGAAAAACATTGACAGAATTAGCAGTGGAGGTTATCTCAAAAATGTGTTGCTGTTCTTTCACATGTTTATGAATCGATTTCTAAGGTTTGATTTAGTACTTTAGAAATATGTTACTACAGGGATTATTTTAGGTTAACCCCTCCATACGTTTTTGTTATTTTGATGACAGATGTGATGTACACTTACTACAGGAAAGCTTCAGTGCTTTACACTAGCGAACACAATGACGATCTGTGTCCAAAATACTGGTGGAGGAACTTGCTCTACATCAACAATTTGTTCCCTAGATCAGAAATGTGCCTCAGCTGGTCGTGGTACCTCTCTGTTGATACACAGTTCTTCGCTATAGCTACATTCTTACTTATACTTTCAACAACGTAAACCATCTTCACTCAAAATAAACAATTAAGTACTTTGCTAATTTTCAGCAAATTTAAAACATCAGCAACCATAACCGTTCTTTTAATTGTTGTTAATATTTTCGCCACCACTTACAAGTCTTACAGTATTAAATACATACCGACGTGAGTACCCACTAAATTACGTTTTAACAGTTTTAGTCTTCACTGTATTTTAGAATGGATGACCAATTGACACAGCTCGACGCCATTTACGATTTGCCGTGGAACCGAATTGGCCCTTACCTAGTTGGAGTAATCACGGCTTATATTTTCGTTGTTAAACTCGAACGGAAGCTTAAACTGACCAAGGTTGTTTTTGTAGTGGTGTTAGTTTAAATAATGTAAAATTTTATTTTAGATTGCTAAAACTATTTTGTGGACTGTTTTCCCAGCTTTGAATCTCTGGATTATGTTCACGATTTATACGAGAAATTTGTCCGTTGAATTTTCAGCAGTGTATATGGGAGTTTCGAGAACCTTATGGGGAGTAGGATTGGGGTGGTTGTTGATAGCGTGCTGTACAGGAAATGCAAGTAAGTACAACCACTGCAACAAATGTTTGACCATATTATCATTAAGTAAAACTCAGGTGAAATATTTAGCACGGCATTGTTGCGGCCCGAAAATTGCTTCCTTAAATTAACCCTATCTCTGCGCAAATTCGTTCTTTTACCAAATATGGACACAAATTACTGTCCACTATGTTTTTCAACCCGTTTCACTGACCGAAACTTCTTATAAATAGGAAACGGCATGAGATCTATTCATGGCTATAAGAGTATTAGCCCCGCCCATCCACCCTGTCTTTTCTTAGCGATTATGTCATTTGCCAAAATTAGTCTTATCTTAGCAGATACTAGCCCCCTAAGAAAAGGGCGGGTGGGTGGGGCCAATACTTGCCAAGATCAGACGGATTTTGCCAAATAACATACACTTTAATAAAATAAAGGGAAGGTAGGTGGGTCTAGTACTTGCCAAAATAAGACTGAATTTGGCAGATGTCATATCTTTGAAGAAAATAAAGGGTGGGTGGGCGGGGCTAATACTTGCCTAGATAAGACTGATTTTGCCAGATGATGTAGCCTCTACCCGTCATTTTCTTAGAGAGTAGGTCATTTGCCAAAATCGGTTTTATCTTAGCAGGTACTAACTAAGTAAATTAATTAAACAATTAGCTTTGAGAGTTTATATCGTGCATTTCCCCAGCTTATAAACACAAAATGTCACGAGAAATACGTCTGGTTGATGTCCGGATGATGATAACGGCCTAAGGGAAAAAATTTAATCCCCTCGTCCCTCAGTCCACGATATTATGCATTCTGTTGCACTTTCCACGATCCTTTCCTCAGAGTGGGACAACGTTAGGTTGATTTAACTGCCGTAAATGAACTATTAGTAATCTTGTGCGAGGAAATAAGAAGTCTTATAATGTAACACTTAAGTATAAGCATCCATAAATCTTATTTATAACTTGATAAACAAAGCATAAGTCCTGACTAAGTGAATCTCATGAAATCTCCTAGCAAGTGCTTTATTTGAACAATCAATCTCATGACTGTTAAATTGCGTTAGAACCAGTAACGATTAAAATCTTAACATGAACAGTGAATTTACAAATAATAAATCAAATTTGTAGTACGTGTTAGCATCGGTCGAAAATTCGTATACTTCCGCTTGGAAAAACCGCAAGAATTAGCTACACTTGTTGGGGATACTGTGTGGTCGTCATCGATACGATTAATTGTCGTTAAACAAAGGCTCCCCCTTTTATTAATCTAGCTACCAGAAAAAGAACTATGTTTAACGATTTTCTTAATTAATTTTTTTTTTCAAATTCAAATTATTCAAACGCGGTTTCGCGCCGTTGTTTTTTTTTCAGCGCGAAATTTTTAATTCAAATTTGGTCACCACAATATAATCCCCAATAACTGATCTTGCATTAATTACGCTGGTTGAGGGAGACAGTGGCGTCAAATGCGATTTTTGTTTAAATTATTGTCGTTCAGTGACAATACAAACAAAAATCGACGTACCAATTTTAAAACGTCTTTACACTTACAACAAACCACAAGTGTAAGGGCGATTTTTTTTGTTTTTCACCAAACGCACTAAAACATGGGTGATTGTGCACACTATTCAAATAATTAATTTTTTTAAATGAGGTTTTCTAGGGTTGTGAACCCCATTTTCAGGACACCCAGAATATTACAAGGATAGTGTTCCAGATATCAATATTGTAATTTCATAACTACAAAAACGTCAACATCGAGATTAAATTATTTATACTACTCTGATAGGTTTGTATAAATATATTTTGATAAGAAAATTCGTCATAAAAACTGAGATAATTTGCAGTTGTAAAATTGACAGGAAACTACCGAACTTTTAATGTACCCTACATAGAAAATAAGTTTCATTTTCTCGATAATTCATAAAGTAAGAAAATCTGCTGCTGTGGCACTTTTTGCTACAGAATTTTTTCACGTTTCAATATTTTCAGTTTTAATGCATTAAAATAAGAAACAAAGGTGGATTAATAAAGCAAAAATTTAAAATTCAACACCAAAGATTACATATTCCATAAAATCTGCAACAATCGGACAGATAAGGAACGACAGACAGACAAACAGACGGAAATAGGCAAACTACTTTTTCATATTCTTTAAGCTATTAAAAATCGAAGAAATTACACATTATTTTTACCAAAAAATATTGAATGAATATGAAGTAATTCAGATTTTTAACTTAATCATTGTTAGTCGTAATAATGTTTATAAATAACACATGTAATTAGTTAATTAATTAATTAATTTAATAATAGAGAAACTTTTCTCCAAACAAATTTATTTCATTACACTCTAATTACGACAAACTATTACGTCAATTCTTTGAATTTTATTACGATTAAGCGTGAGGAATTTTCTCCAAAAATACGAATGTCAAAGTTTCATACAGACACAAGTTTTAAAAATCACGCAAAATTCAACACTTTATTACATCTTGCTTTACAGGGATTTTGGAGCAATTCCTTTCTTTTCCCGGCTGGATTCCACTGAGTCGATTAACATACTGCGCATACCTTCTAAATCCTCTTTTAGCCAACATGATCTACATGGGATCCAACAGCAGTTTAAACGCCTCAAAGGCTTCGTTCGTAAGTATAGGTACCGTTGTCAAAGAAAGGGAGCAATAACGAGACACTTTTCAGGGAGCTCTTTCACAGGGCATAGCGATGTCAACATTCTTTTTAGCTTTCTTTTTCTCCGTATTAATTGAGTCTCCGAGTATTTTACTTACCAAAATGGCTTTCAAGAAACTAACGCAAAAGAAGGATACCAAAAATGCTACTTCTGTCTAGTACTTATCTGTGATTGTAGTTTAATATGAAGTTAACTAGTAAGTTAGTGAATGATCTATGTATAACCATGTTATATGTTATAATAAAATAAGTGTTATTTTTGTGGCGTTAAGACAAAAAGCGTTGTCACGAATAAATATAATTTCGTTGAAAATACGTGAAGATCCATAGGAAAAGAAGTCATAAATTTGAAAAATATGATGAATGAATTGATGTTTTCTTTTTTGATCTCTTTATAGTTTTATCGATTTACTTTTTATAATTTGGTAGGTATTCATTTCAAAATTAGAATTGTGATACAAAATAAAATTACGAGAAATTTTATAACAAAAAGAACCGAGCTGTGTACGTTTATTTCTGAGTAGTATCATTAAACTTAGCCAAGCCATTATATGTTGTTCCTTTTTTATTTTATCTGTCATTATTAGGTACATGTTATTTTTGTTGTTATACATTCATATTTGCCACACACTAAATACAATGTTTAATAATATGTATACAGAATTTGGAATAAATAAAATAAATGTATGCTCTACGCTTGTGTCGTTTAAATTAAAACCATATAATAATCGAAGATTCACCCTGTATATTTCGTCAGTTCTGCCAATATTTCATCTGTATGTTATCTTAAAAATAGTGAAATAATTGTCCAGTGGGAGATAACAGAGTGACAGGAAGTAAACATCGTTTTGAAAAAGTGTATTGTTTATTGAAATAAATTTCATTTATAAATATTGGCTAGCTATTAAATATACTGTTTTATGACTTGTTTTCTGACAGTTTCTTTTTAATGTAGCGTCCGACAAGAATTTGTGGATGATTTTGCCACTCCATCATCACTTCTTTAGGAGTAGTCACCTGAAACAAATATACAAAAAAAGAAGTTAATTTAGAACAGCTATTATACTATACCTGGTCGCCTTTCAGCCGATTGACTAAAGCTACATTAACCAAAGCAGACTTAATTCCAGCTTTATACGTAAGTGCTGCAAATATAGTCGCTTCCATTTCAATATTCTTAACTCCTTTGTTCTGCAACTCTCTTAAATAATTCATCTTTTCTTCTTCCGAGTGCTCACAAAAAGCTCCATCAGTTCGTCCTTGTCCTAGTTAAAGTTGCAAATATAAATAAAATTGGTACTAAGTATCATATTTCTACCTTCATAGAAGTCATTTGCACACATCGTAGCTCCTGTGACAACTTTAAAGGAATCTTCAGGTTTTGACAGTGCTAGGAGTTCGTTGACTAGACGTTTGTCAACTATTGCCGGCCGCTTGACGACTTTACCACAAATTTTCTAAAAAATAAGACGACTTCAACGATAGCTATTTTTCTAATTTAGAACTGAACTTCATGTAAGTACCTGTTCATAATAGTTATTCCCCATTTCGTCAACCGCTTGATTGGCAACGATCACCGTTCCTGGTTCCAATCCAATACCCCCGCAGGTGCCTATTCTGAAGAAAATTGGATTTTTTACCTTCGCATGATACATAAGTTTAATTATTTCGTGGAGCAAAATTCCGATCGATGGAACTCCCATGCCGTGCTAAAATTAATTTCCATTTTTTTATCAATTTCATTATCAATGTAATCCAACAGATGGCTATGTAGTTGGTCTGAGATGACTAGCATGTTGACATGATTTTAACAGGTAGCAATATGATTAAAAGCATATTAATTAGGATTACAATCAATGGAATTATTACATGAATGGATGGATACGGTGTAAGCGTTCAATAAATAATCTCATTCATCTCGACTGTAATGCATCAACAAATGTGTGTACATTCAATTATTATCAAAGCCTGACGAAATGTTATAAATCAAATAATGTTGTAATGACTGATTATGAGATAAGCACTGTTCGCATGAAATAACACGAAGATCAAAAATATTTCCCGTTTTGGAAATCTAGCAGTACTTACACTAACACAAAGCACAGGTCCAACTTTATACATGGCAAAACGCTGTGATTTTCGCGTAATATCTTGCAAATCGGCACCAGTAGGTAAACTGTGGCCAATTTCCTTCATTATGTAGTGGGCGAATATTTCCATTCGTGCCGAAGTACCACCCATGCAGACAAACTGTAACAAAAATGTATTCAGTTTAAATGACGCTTTTCGCCAACAAAAATGTCACCTTGTGAATTTCGGCTTTTCATTGTTGTTAGAAATTTAAAAAAATTAAAAGGTTAGCTAAGTCGCTAAGTACCTAATCAGGAATTAAAAATATAAATTTAGAAGGATTACTATGAAATACTTATTTTGTTATCGGTGTGATAAATGAGCTTTGTCAGTTTTAGAAAAAAGTTTCCTTCGTTTAAATCCAAACTAGGCGTGTATTCTCCGATAGCTTTAAAAAATAAATTATTTAAGCTGAGAAAGTCAACAAGCGCTATCACTTATCAATATGATGAAGATAACGGATTAAAATTTTATGTAATATATGATTCTGTCGTGTGGTAAAATGACAAGATGAAATATAGTCATAACTTAAAAATGTTGCTATGAACAACATATCAGAAGATACAAAACAAGCTTGAACTTTTTCTTAGATATCTTATGATATAATATATGTGGTTCCATAACACATATAAAATTTGACAACAAACGGTCCGGTAATTTCGAAGATTGAGTATCTGTCTAACAAAAATTGACACACATGATCGTTTTCCGGGTTGGAACCGTGTTAATTTAGTTTTTGGGTTCAACGTTTCGCATATTTTCCCTGCTCCTGAAGATGCCACTTACGAAACGTTGAGCCCAAAAACTCAATTAACACGGTTCCAACCCGGAAAACGATCATGTATTGATTCCTACCGTGGAAGCCTCCGAAATTATTTTTAAAAATTGACACAGACAGACAGATAGACGGAAACGAGAGACGTATTATTTCGTACTCCAAGGATCACAACACATCGAGAAAACATAAAAGGAGCCAGTCGTCACCAAGTCAAACTTAGGTTAATAGTTATAAATCTATTAATTATCTTTTGTAAGTTTAGGTATTCAATTTAATAAGTATATATTTAAGGAATTTATTTTTTTTATTGTATCTTAAAATATATAATATTGGTTAAGAGTTAAATGGAATTATTCTGTTGGGCATATTCTTTTTATATTTAATTAAATATTAAGATATACACATTGTTGCTTTGTGTACCTACTGAATTATGTATAAAGGACACATCAGTGACCGCACTTACACTTTCCAAATCATAAAAGACAATCTCAGTCAGCTAAAAAATTAATGATAAATTTTGTAGAAAAAATACACTTTGTTTCAGATTTTTTTAGAATTTTTCAGCTCGTTACAGATTGTTTCAGGCCCTTTCAAATTTTTTCAGATCGCTTTATAAATCCTTTCAGATCTCTGCAAACTGTTTCATATTCTTCCATTTTTTTTTAGATTCTTCTAGATTCTCTCAAATTCTCTCAGATTCTTCCAGGCTTATCTAGGTTCTTCTAGATTCGTCTAGAAACCTGAAAGTTTCTCGCCCTCTTCTGATTCTTTCCGATTCTTTGTTTCATATTCCTAGAATCCGTGAGATTCTTCCAGATGTTTTGATTTTCGTTACAACTCATCCTTTCGGATCCTTTTAGATTTTTTCTGATTTTCTCTTTCAGATTATTTCGATTTTTTTGAGATTCTTTCAAAAATACCGTCAAAAATTCTCAAAATTCTTTAAAATTTTTCAGATTTCTAGAGATTCTTCCAGATTCTTCCACATTTTTATAGATTCTTCGAGATTCTCCTAGATTCTCTCAAATTCCTTCAAATTCCTACAGATTCCTTCAGACTCTTTCCGAATCTCTCAGATTTTTCAAAATCTCCTAGTTTCTTTCAGATTTTTACAGATTCTCCGAAATTTTCTCAAATTCCCTTACATTCTTTCAGATTCCTTTAGATTTTTTCAGATAGCTTCAAAATCCTTCTAGATCCTTTCAAAATTATCCAAATAGCTTCAGATCCTTGCACTCTCCCAGATTCTTTCAGTTTTTTTTACATTCTTCTGGATTCATCATTCAATAATGCTCATAATCTTTCAGGTCCTTACAGATGGTTGGAATCTTAACAAATTTTTCCAGATTTTTTTTCTAGATTCTTCTAGATTCTCCCAATTTCTCTCACATTTTTCCAGGTTTATCTAAATTCTTCTAAGGTTTATCCTTAACTTATTTATTCTTCTAGATTCGTCTAGATTCTCCGAGATTCTGTCAGATTTCTTTCGATTCCATCTGATCACTGCTGTTTCTTCCTGATTTTTTTTAATTAATTGTTTCATATTCCCTCAGATTCCCTTAGATTTACTCAGATTCCTTCAAATTCCTCCAGATTCTATCAGATGCATTCAGATTCTTGCATTTTCCTTACAATTGTTCCTTCCGAATTATTTCTAATTCTCTCTTTCAGATTCTTTCCAATTTCTTCAGATTCTTTCAAAAATATAGTCAGGGATTCTCAAAATTCTTCAAAATTTATCAATTCTATTCGGATCGTTGCAAATCCTTACAGATCCTTTCAGATTCCTGCAGATTCTTCCATATTTTTCTAGATTCTTCGGGATTCTTCAAGGTTCTCCAAGATTCTATATAAGAGTCCCAGAGGTTCCCTCAGATTCCTACAGATTCCTGCAGATTTTTTACGAATATCTCAGATTTTTCCAGATCTCCTAGTTTCTTCCAAATTTTCACAGATTCTAATAGATTTTCTCAGATTCTTTTAGATTCTTTCAGATTCCTACAGACTTTTTCCAATTCTCTTAAATTCCCCCAGATTCTCTTAGAATTTTTCATCTTTCAGATGGGTTCAAAATCCTTCTAGATCCTTCTAAAAGTATCCAGACGACTTTATATCTTTGCACTCTTCCAGATCCTTCCAGTTTTTTATTTACATTCTTCTAGATTCATCGTTCATTAATTCTCATAAAGGTCCTTACAGATCGTTCCAAATCTTTTAAATTTTTTTCAGATCTTCAGATTCTTATAGATTCTCTCAATTTCTCTCAGATTCTTCCAAGTTTATCTAGATTCTTCTAGATTCGTCTAGATTCTCTGAGATTCTGTCAGCTTTCTTCCGATTCCTTCTAATCCCTTCTGATTCTTTCGAATTCTTTCCAATTCTTTGTTTCATATTCCCTCAGATTCTCTCAGATTCACTCAGATTCCTTCAGATTTCTTCAAATTCCTCCAGATTCTATCAGATGCTTTTATTTTCCTTGCAATTTTTCCGTTCGATTTATTTCTAATTTTCTCCTTCAGATTTTTTCGAATTTTTTCATATTCTTTCAAAAATACCGTCAGGAATCCTCAAAATTCTTTAAAATTTATCAATTCTATTCGGGTCGTTGCAGATCTTTACAAATCCTTTCAGATTCCTGCAGATTCTTCCAGAGTTTTCTAGCTTCTTCGGGATTTTTCAAGGTTCTCCAAGATTCTATCAGAGTCTCAAAGGTTCTCCCAGATTGCTTCAGATTCTTATAGATTTTTTCCGAATCTCTAAGATTTTTCCAAATCTCCTAGTTTCTTCCAGAGTTTCGCAGATTTTCTCGGATTCTCTCAGATTCCCCCAGATTCTCTCAGAATTTTTCACCTTTCAGATAGTTGCAAAATCCTTCTAGCTCCTTTCAAAATTATCCAGATAGCTTCAGATCCTTGTACTCTTCCAAATTTTTAGAGTTTTTTTACATTTTTTTGGATTCATCATGATTCATTAATTCTCATGATCTTTCAGATCCTTACAGATCGTTTCAAATTTTTCCAGATTTTTTCTAGGTTCTTCTAGATTCTCCGATTTTCTCTCAGATTCTTCCAAGTTTATCTAGATTCTCTGAGATTCTGTCAGATTTCTTCCGATTTCTTCTGATCCCTTCTGATTCTTCCTGATTCTTCCCGATTCTTTGTTTTATATTCCCTCAGATTCTCTTAGATTCGCTCAGATTCCTTCAGATTTTCTCAAATTCCTCCAGATTCTTTCATTTTCTTTACAATTCTTCCTTTCGAATTATTTCTAATTCTCTCTTACGGATTCTTTGAAAAATACTGCCAGGAATCCCGAAAATTCTTTAAAATGTTTCGGTTCTATTCGGATCGTTACAGATCCTTACAGATCTTTTCAGATTTCTGCAGATTCTTCCAGATTTTTCTAGATTCTTCGGGATTCTTCAAGGTTTTCCAAGATTCTCTCAGATTGGCTAAGATTCTATCAGAGTTGCAGAGGTTCCCTCAGATTCCTTCAATTTCCTTCAGATTCCTACAGATTCCGCAGATTTTTCCCGAATTTCTCAGATTTTTCCAAATGTCCTAGTTTCTTCCAGATTTTCGTAGATTCTCTCGGATTCTCTCGGAATCTTTCAGATTTCCTTAGATTCTCTTAGATTCTTTCAGATTCCTTCAGATTTTTTTCGATTCTCTCAGATTCTCTCAGAATTTTTTATCTTTCATATGGTTTCAAAGTCCTTCTAGATCCTTTCATAATTATCTAGATGGCTTCAATTCCTTGCACTCTTCAAGATTCTTGCAGACTTTTTACACTTTTCTGGATTCATCATTCGTTAATTCTCATAATCTTTCAAGTCTTTACAGATCGTTTCAAATCTTTTAAAATGTTTCCAAATTTTTTCTAGATTCTTATAAATTCTTTCAATTTCTCTCAGATTCTTCCAGGTTTATCTAGATTCTTCTAGATTTGTCTAGATTCTCTGAGATTCTGTCAGATTTCTTTCGATTCCTTCTAATCCCGTTTGATTCTTTTGGATTCTTTCCGATTCTTTGTTTCATATTCCCTCAGATTCTCTTAGATTCACTCAGATTCTTTCAGATTTCCTCAAATCCCTCCAAATTCTATCAGATGCTTTCATTTTCCTTACAATTTTTCCTTTCGATTTATTTCTAATTTTGTCTTTCAGATTCTTTCGACGTTCTTCAGATTCTTTCAAAAATTCCGTTAGGAATCCTCAAAACTCAACTCTTTAAAATTTTTCAATTCTATTCTGATCGTTGCAGATCCTTACAGATCCTTTTAGACCCCTGCAGATTCTTCCAGATTTTGCTAGATTCTTCGGGATTTTTCAAGGCTCTCCAAGATTCTCTCAGATTATCTAAGAGTCTGAGAGGTTCCTTCAGATTCCTATAGATTCCCGCAGTTTTTTTCCTAATCTCTCAGATTTTTCAAAATATACTAGTTTCTTCCAGATTTTCGCAGATGGTTTCAAATCCTTGCACTCTTCCAGATTTTTCGAGTTATTTTTTTTCATTCTTCTGGATTCACTATTCATTAGTTCTCATAATCTTTCAGGTCCTTACAGGTCGTTTCAAATCTTTTAAAAATTTCCCAGATTTTTTCTAGATTCTTATAGATCCTTTTAATTTCTCTCAGATTCTTCCAGATTTATCTAGATTCTTCTAGATTAGTCTAGATTTTCTGAGATTCTGTCAGATTTCTTTCGATTTCTTCTAATCCCTTCTGATTTTTTTGGATTCTTTCCGATTCTTTGTTTCATATTTCCTCAGATTCTCTTAGATTCACTCAGATTCTTTCAGATTTCCTCAAATTACCCCAAATTGTATCAGATGCTTTCATTTTCCTTAAAATTTTTCCTTTCGATTTATTTCTAATTTTCTCTTTCAGATTCTTTCGACTTTCTTCAGATTCTTTTAAAAACTCCGTCAGGAATCCTCAAAATTCTTTAAAATTTTTCAGATTCTTCCAGGTTGATCTAGATTCTTCTAGATTCTCTCAGATTTTCTCAGATTCCCTTAAATTCTCTAAGATTCTTTCAGATTCCTTCAGACTTTTTCCGATTCTCTCAGATTCCCCCAGATTCCCTCAGAATTTTTCATCTTTCAGATAGTTTCAAAATCCTTCTAGATCCTTTTAAAATTATCCAGATGGCATCAGATCTTTACACTCTTCCAGATCCTTCCAGTTTTTTTACATTTTTCTGTATTCATTATTCATTCATTCTCATAATCTTTCAAGTCCTTGCAGATCGTTTCAAATCTTTTCAAGTTTTTCCAGATTTTTTCTAGATTCTTATAAATTTTCTTAATTTCTCTCAGACTCTTCCAGGTTGATGTAGATTCTTTTAGATTCGTCTAGATTCTCTGAGATTCCTTCTAATCATTCCGATTCTTTCCTCAGATTCTCTTAGATTCACTCAGATTCCTTCAGATTTCTTCAGATTCCTTCAGAGTTCCTCAAATTCCTCCAGATTCTATTAGACGCTTTCAGATTATTTCATCTTTTACGATTCTTCCTTTCGAATTTTTTCGAATTTTTTCAAATTCTTTCAAAGACACCATCAGGAATCGTCAAAATTCTTGGATATTCTTTGAAAGATTCTTTGAAATTCGCTCAGACGTTTGATATTTTTCTCATATTAACATGTGTAATTTTAACTGCAATTTGTGACTCGATTACAATGCTTCCATAGCTTACACTTGGGAAATAATAAGCCTAATTATTGGCAGGTTGTCTGATTTGATCTTTGAATTGTAGCAACTTTCAACTCTTCCAAATCTCTCTGTAAGTTCTACCCGAGTACAAAAAATCAAACAAATCCGATAGAAGAATCAATTGGAACCAAATCTGGCGACCTTGCAGGCTAATGATTTGTACCACTATGACCTATCGGGTGATCTGGGAATACATTGTCTATAATATAAATATAGATAAAGATAAAATAAAAGACAGATATCGGTTAAGTATAATTCCGTAATTCCGTATCTCGCGGCTGTCACAAAATAACGAGTATATATTTATTTTCACCGATTTAAAGACAAAAGACAGAAGAAATATAGTTTACAGTACAACATAGACGGATTATTTATATTAAAAATGCTAAAGTATAATGTTATGTTAGAGGCAGAAAAATTAATTTGTGGCTTATCATAATCATAATAAGCACTAATTCTTATCAAACTCGCTTGAGCCGTCTTCAACAAGCAATTTTAAATTTACACACGACACAATGTTTGAACTTCGGATTAATAAAAAAATGAAAGAACGTTCCAAATTAAATTTTAACTACTTCAGTGTTTAAACAAATGAAATGGTCAGCGACCGGCTGGTTAAATAAATGAACCTTATCAAACCTTGGTCCGACTACTTAACAGTTTTTTTTTCAGTACTGAAAGCTGTAACACTCTAATTTAATTGCAACTTTGTAACATTTTTTTTTATTTCCGGTTTAGAAACCCCAAGCGTTTGTATAAGTTCTGTCAAATTAGATACAGTTGCAAAAATTCGCATATAACGTATAAATGATTGTATTTACCTGCACGTCACTAAACATGTTGACTAAATCATGTGAAGCTGCTCCCAATCCTAAATGATAAAGAAAATCATCTTTGATAGCTTCGATGTTGGGGTTCTGAGGGCGCAACGTTCCATCGGGATTCCTGAGGCAAAGTAAACGTTATCTGTAACCTTTCATTCTCAAATATTATCAGTTTGAAAGTAATTATTATATTTTAATAGATACCTATTAGGTAAATTAATATAGTCTGTGTTGTTCCTTCCATGTTATAAAAAGGGAAATAAAAACATTTTAAAACTAGAAAATATAAAATATCCCAACTGCTGCATTCGAATAGATAAAATATCTTGACTTTACGTAATATACGCTACAGCGCGCATAAAATTAAATTGCATCTGCAACCACATTCACTGAATTAATATTTTGCAGTTGCGGAATATAATCCCGAGTAAAATCCCGTTCTTTCGATATTTTTATCATTATTAAAATTTCTGTCGGTATGTACTAACCTGAGTTTCCTAACATTGCAACCGGGTTTTGTGCATTCAAATGCTCCGTCTTCGTAATGATAAAAATGGTCGTGTTCTTCGTTCTCGTGGTTCTGGGACATTTTGGATGCACATATAACACTATATCAATTATCCGCTCAATCGTTGCTACTTGAATGCTTCAAATAGGAAGTGTTGTCTATTTATCCACATTTTTATCGCATCTTATCATGAATCAAGCGCTTAGTTAAGCGTTTTCAATGCCATTATGCAATTCAGGAGCGTAAAACCCACTTTTGATTCACTTATGTCGAAGCCATAAAACAGGATTAATACTTATCGGGTATTTGCAACAAATTTACACTGCATTATCACCATTTATGTGAAACATGTTTAAATGACTAATTTACGAATAAATACCGACGAAAGTATTGTTTGTTTTTGAAACCTTGAACTTAGGTTTGTCTGTGTTTAAGGTGACCGTGCAACGCCGATTTTCCTTTTTTGACGTTAGTCCGTGAATGTGGTTTTGTTTCTCAAAAGAGGGTTCATTTTTACTATATAACGACAAGAATTTAATAATAACGTTATACAGTGACAAGAATGTTTAAAAAAATACAGTTAAATCTTAGAGTGACCTAAGAAGTATAACATTCCGATTCTAAAAATTTTTGAAAATAGAAATAATAGACGAACATTTCGAGTTAAATTTGAAGGACACAAAAAGCATGAAATGCATGTCAAATAAAGTCTGCTAACGAAAAATTGGTTTAAGGTTATTTAGACAGAACTTTCCCCGCCCCCGAAACACAATAAAACAACTCCAGTACGAATTTTATTTTTTTAATGCGAACCCTTATAAATTAAAATAAAAATATGTATGTAACGTTAAAGTTAATGCGAAGAAGCATGCTGCGCCGCTTTTCAAATGAGTTTTCCCTTAACTAAATTTTATTAATATTTTTGCATCGTTTATATCTATCATCTATCACTTTGGATAGGTGCAGTATAATCCTAATGATAACAATATTTTACTCAGAAAGGATTTATTCGGCCAATTTTTGAGAGATGTCATATATTTATTGAGAGTGTATAAATGAATAATTGCTTAACGATTTATCATGATTACGATAACCTTAAAATATTAAATTTACAAGATTTCAGGGCATTCGGTTTTGCAGTTTCAAAGTTAAATTACAAAATGTTGTTATACAGTATTGGAATTTTTTTCCAAAAAACTGGATGTGTAGGGTCAAAATTCGACACGGATTTACACACCACAAGTACAAGAGTATTTTGTCTTATAAAATTTACTATTATAAATTTTGGAGATATCGTCATTCCATTGGTGGTGGGGAAGGTTAGCCAAATTTTAGTTAGCGTTTATTCATCCATTTGGGATAAAATTTATTTATTATTTCGTGCACCTGACCTAAGTTGACCTAACGTGACCTGACATGTTTTGATTTCTCTATGTCTTAAGTAAACAAATTTTAAACATTTCTGTAAATATATAAAAACATCTTTGAAGCGATTGTATTTTGTGAAACAAAAATGTTTTAATTTACTTTTTTATCTACAAAAATTTTATACCGAGCGATTTTGACAAAACTGTAAAAATTGCTATATTTTAATTAGCGATTTTGGAACAACAGTAGGAATTTTCGAAGAAACGAAGCCGAAAATGACTTTTGGATATCGAAATCTACAAGAAAGTGTTTTCAACTAATTTTCGAAAATAGTTTAAAGACAGTCGAAAATGTCAAGTGCCAAAATCAGTCTTATCCTTATGACACACTAGCCCCACCCACCCACCCTTTATTTTCTTAGAGAATATGTCATTTGCCAAAATCAGTCTTATCTTAGCAAGTACTAGCCTCGCCCACACCCTTTTATTATTCTAACGACTAATTTTATTTCGATTCGGTATAAAATCATTCATTTCATTCAGATCGGATAAAATCAATCACTAAAAAGGAAGCAGGGTGGGTGGGGCTAATTCTAATGGGTTCTTCCGTCAAGTGGGAGTGGAAATAATAGAATCTAGGATGTGAAAAAAGGAAAAAAAAAGCTAATCGTAACTCTTTTTGTTATACAATTTGCTATAAAATTTATTTCTTATGTCATGCACCTGACCTGTTCAGACTTTTCTATTCTCTTAAATAAACAAATTTTAAACATTTCTATGAATATATAAAAACCACAAAGTACATCCTTAACACGATTGTGTTTAGTGAAACAAAAATTAATAATAATTTCCTTTTTCATCTACAAAAATTTTATACCGAGCGATTTTGACGAAACTGTAAAAACTGCTATATTTCAATTAGCGATTTTGTAATAACGGTAGGAATTTTGGAAGAAACGAAGCCGAAAATGACTTTTGGATATTGAAATCCGCAAGAAAATAGTTCAAAAATGGTCGCAAATGTCAAAAGTGCCAAAATCAATCTTATCCTTATCACATACTAGCCCCGCCCACCCACCCTCTATTTTCTTAGAGGATATGTCATTTGCCAAAATCACTCTTATCTTAGCAAGTACTAGCGCCGCCAACCCCCCTTCTTATTATAACGACTACTTTTATTTCGATTCAATATAAGATCATTCATTTTATTCGGATCGGATAAAATCAATCACTGAAAAGGAAGCAGGGTGGGTGGGCGGGGCTATTTATGTTCTTCTGACAAGTGGGAGTGGAAACTAATAGAATCTAGGGTGTGAAAAAAGTAAAAAAAAAAACGCTAATCGTAACTTTTTTGTTATACTATGTTCTATAAAAATTATTTCTTATTTCAGGCACCTGACCTGACTTGACCTAACGTGACCTGACCTGTTTTGACTTCTCTATTGTGTTAAATAAACAATTTTAAACATTTCTGTGGATATATAAGAACCACAAAGTGCATCCTTAAAGCGATTGTAAATATTTTGTGAAACAAAAATTAATAATAATTCCTTTTTTATCTACAAAAATTGTATGCCGAGCGATTTTGATGAAACTGTAAAAATTGCTACACTTATCAAATACTAGCTCCGCCCACCCACCCTCTATTTTCTTAGAGGATATGTCCTTTGCCAAAATCACTCTTATCTTAGCAAGTACTAGCGTCGCCACCCCCTGTTCTTATTCTAACGACTAATTTTATTTCGATTTAGTATAAGATCATTCATTTCATTCGGATCGAATAAAATCATTCACTGAAAAGGAAGCAGGGTGGGTGGGCGGGGCTAATTATGTTTTATTGTCAAGTGGGAGTGGAAAGTAATAGAATCTAAAAAAGTAAAAAAAAACTACCACCGGAAAATGGGGATAAGAGATAAAAAAATATAGATAAAAATTAAGCAACAAAGACAACCCTAATCGGATTACAACCTACCGAAAATTATGACCCCACGTCTTTTAGCCGGTCGACGGGCGGTTTACCTAGATTATCATAGAAACGATACTCAGGACAGGACTCGTTATTACGTTTTCTACATTTCTAGTTACCTGTTTGTAAAATAAATGTTCTATTCTTTTATACTCATATATTATAATGTTATTATAATCATTAATAATGATATAATTATAAATGTTTTGTTTTTATGGTACCACATAACATAACTTTTATGACCTTCCCTGTGCGATGGTAGGTTGCAAAAACTATAACTTTTTTTGCTATACAATTTGCTATAAAATTTACTTCTTATTTCATGCACCTGACCTGACTTGACCTAACGTGTCCTAATCTGTTTTGATTTCTCGATTTCTTATATGATCGTTTTCCGGGTTGGAACCGTGTAAATTGAGTTTTTAGGCTCCCAAAAACTCAATTTACACGGTTTTAACCCGGAAAACGATCATATATTGATTCCGATCGTGAAAGCCTCTGAAATTATTTCTCTATTTCTTAAATAAACAAATTTTAAACATTTCTGTGAATATATAAAACCACAAAGTACATTTTAAAACGATTGTATTTTGTAAATCAAAAATTAATAATAATCTCGTTTTTTACCTACAAAATGATTTTTTTAAAATCGAAATCTACAAGAAAATGTTGTCAATTAATTTTCGAAAATAGTTGAACAATGGGCGAAAATGTCAAAAGTGCCCAAGTCCATCTCATTTGCCAAAATCAGTCTTATCTTGGAAAGTTAAAAATCAGCTTACAAGGATCTTAGTTTATGCCTCTTTGGGTGTTTATTGCAAATATTGGGTTTACAGAATTATGGGCAATTAAAATAAATTTTCTTAAAAATCTTTCTATGGCAGCATTACGACATACGAATTCAATTCCAAAGAAGTCTCGATTACAAATTACATTGTTTGCTCGATATAATATACGGATATCATTTATTTCTCAAAAGTGATAAAACAGATTATAAAGCAACTGATATAAATATAGGTTTATAAAAGAGTCAATTGAATAAGGACACTCAAATGATGGATGAGTGCTGTCACTTTAATAGAGATACTTATTCAATCATACACACTTCAAATTTAAAAAAAAACTGTGAATGTGCAATACACATACATTGTCCACGGTAATAAAATTACTTAGCTAACGTTTTTTTAAACAAATAGTGCAAAATTAGGTATTTATTAAAAAAAATTGATAATTTACTGGGTAATTTCTTTTTCATACATTTGGTAAAACGAGTATTAACATTCGATGAATGCCACAAGTCATTAATTTTTTTTTTCTACACAAATGAAAATCAATCGTTTAATCCTGATTAAAGGTTTTTATCCTTGTAGGTCACGATAAGGTAAGTAAGTAGATTTAATAGAAAAAGTTGTGGAGATCCAAGGCGAGCTCATAAAAAAACTCGTACTATACTCACTTTGGTTTGGTTCTTTGTGAATTTGTAAAAAACCTCGAGGTATAAATCTATAAAAATTACTGTCAAGCAAATAGAAATAGCCAAAAAGATATAGAGTATGAAACTATGCTATCTTGCTTTCCTGTGTCAAATTTAAAACTAAAATAGAGTCCTGGTAACAGTGACCATTGACTATTTGTTTCCAAAAGTGTTTCTTGGAAGCTTTCAATAAATTTCTCCGATTGATTGTCCGAAGGAAACAAAGTTGCTATGAATCAGATGTGTATGAGAACATTTTAGGCTATAAAATGCGTTCAATTTAAGATATATTTAGAACAATCAAAACACAGGAAATTCTATGTCAGCAAGCAGGAATAGTTCAATGTTCACTATTTCCTGGACTCTAGGTTTAAGTTTCAATATACGTTTTGTGCTTTCAGAGAACCACATAACTGTTATAATACTGACTGTAGTTTATTTTTATAACATTAGTAGTTGAAAAGTGGGACTCATGGATGACAGGTTACAATAGGGATTGCATGAAGATTGGAAGAGAGGTTATAATAAGGACTACATAACTGGCAAATATTTTATTGTTTATAGGCGACATAAACGGACTACTCTAGAATGAACATCGATCATCAACAATAATGGAATATTTAAAAAACGAAATAGCACTTCTTGGTAGTTACCCAGAATGGTGAAGACCAGATGGTGATTAAAGAAGCCTGTACATACATACTGTATTTTCGTGGTTTACTTGGGTATATAAAATTTTAATACGAACAACCCCTATAACTGTGAGCAAATTCAACAATAACGATGTATGTAATCAACAAATTAGGCAGATTTTTTTTAATCACATGACTACGTCGTTGTCTACCATAAAATGTGTAAATTGTAACAAATGTATTGTCCAGTATATAGCTACAACGTCACAACATTAAAACACCATGCTCTATAGGTTGCAAAAGACTACCAACCGTTAAGGTATGTATATAGGTATAACATTTAATTGCGAAGCCGCTTAATGGTAATTTTCTGGTCAAAATTATGCGTACTTTTTGGATTAAAAAAAATTCCGATGAGTCTTATGCTCTGATATGTTTAGTACGAATAGTTACATGATAAGAATTCCGTCCGTCATTTCCAAAGATTCCCGGATGAACTTGAATGAAGTACAGACTGTGCTTTAACGGTTCTTTTAGTACAAATACGAACAACAGTAATGTCTCCTACTAGCTATTAATGTAACGGTGCAGGAAATGTGTGCGTCTGAAGTACTCCACACTAATTCAAGTACTCCAGTCGAAAGCTCGTATCTGTCCTGTACCCCTACACTATCTTGTCTCATTTAATAATATAAAAAATTAATATGTCATTATCACTATCCTCAATCTCACATTCAGCAAACTTCTTCCAAATGTAATTTTAGAACAGATAACTTGTGCTTTAGCAACTTAATCGAAAGTCTCCGACTCCTGCTGGACTAGTTTGAAGCGTCTTGGACTCTTGACAGCCATGGATCCATGCCCATCGAAAGATATTCTCCCTTTAGTTTGCAGATACCGTTTAATATATCTACCCACAAGCTTCTGTGGTCTGATCTGCCATTCATCCAGTACTTCCTTAGGAGCACACACCTAAAAATCACCGTGAAATCTATCCTCACAAAATTATCAACCAACCCAAACCTGATCTCCTTTCAATCGATCAAGTAAAGCAACACAGACCACGGCGGCCTTAATTCCTGCATGGTGAGTTAAAGCAGCAAATGGTACTACTTCCATTTCGATATTCTTCACCCCGTTGCTTTGTAAATGAGTTAGATATGCCATTTTTTCGGATTCTGAATAGTCGCAAAATGCGCCATCCATTCTTCCTTGACCTAGAATAGGAGAAATAGATACACAAGAGACTGACATCTAGTAGTACCTTCATAGAAGTCATTAGCACACATTGTTGTTCCTATCACCGTTTCGTAGGGATCTTCGGGATCAGCTAAAGCTCTTAGTTCTCTAACTAAACGCCTATCTAGTTTTGCCGGTCTTCTCACTGGTTTTCCCAACATTGGCTACGAATAATTAAATTAGCACTAATTTATTTATTCGTATTTTTTTTTTTCTACGTACCACTTCATAATGGTGTTGGCCCATTTCATTCACAGCGTCGTCTGAAATGACCACTGTTCCTCCTTCCAGACCAATACCACCGCATGTACCAATTCGGAAGAAAATAGGATCTTTTGCTTTAGCGTGGTACATAAGTTTGATGATTTCGTGAAGTAGAATTCCAATGGATGGTACTCCCATTCCATGCTGTAATTTGCGTTATAGGGAGACGTCGAAGATAATATTTGGAACTTACGCTAACGGATAGAATTGGACCCACTTTGTACATACTATAGCGGTATGAGTATTGACTAATGTCTTGTAAAGTGGTTCCTGTTGGTAATTTATGTCCAATCTCTTTCATTATGTAGTATGCGAACGCCTCCATGCGTTTGGGAGTTCCTCCCATGCAAACGAACTGAAAGTACATTGAATATTTAACGTCCAGGCTTTAAATAAGCAAACAAAGGGGAATTAATGGTTTCAATGTAAAATAGTTGGTTTGGAGCTGGTGTTCTAGACAGTCGCAGCCGTAAACAAAGAAAAGGAAGTAAATCGACTGGTCAGAGGTTACAGTAAAAACCAATTTTTCAAAAACTATTTCGTGTGGTTTAATATTGTTATCATCCACGAAAAGGACGTAACAGAAATTTTTTTTCTCTGACCTATTTCCCAACGATATTCCAAAATATTATGACACGTTTTATCTCCACAACAAATATTGCTAAATTCAAGGTTTGAGACCGATAAGGGGGAAAATTATTTGATAATGACCCAAATCCACAAAGTTCGTTAGATATGACGCAGCAACACAACAACAACTTTATGAAAAGAAATAAATAAATAAAATTTATAACAAAATTTGTAAATTTGTTCAACAGGTAGAGTCAGCGATTGGTGCTTACTTTGACGTCACCAAACATTTCCACTAAGTCATGGGATTCGCTCCCTAAAGCCAGGTGGTAGAGTATATCTTGATCCATCAATTCTATATGAGGATTTCTTAGCCGTACGGTCCCATCTGGATATCTGCAACAATGAAAACTGTGAATAAAGCGGGTTTTGCATTGTTTGGTTTACACTGAACGTTGCAGTAGCTTTTGTTAAATGTTATACCTGCACCTGATCGTAAACCTTGGCGGGTTTTGTAGTGTTTCGAATGGCACACCTGCTTCTAAAAAGCTTTGTTGTTTGCAGATTGTATACATGCAATGACATTTTTAAGCAACGGTACGAATACTGATCACATCCTATATAATACCTATTATGTAATTTAAAGAAATTTTAGCTGTTAAAATCTGATAAGATATTTTTACTGACCTGTCATAAATAAATAATAACTGGTTCTCAATTTTTTTTGGAATAACGCTGATCAGATCTCTTTCGCCCAATACATCATTAATTATTCAAAGGCATTATCAACTTGGAATGTCAAAGATATAGTAATTTAGTAATAAAAACACCATAAGGACAAGGAGCAACCAAATCAATATTTGTTTATTATTTATTTATAGATCGGAACAAGAAATTTCAGTAATGTAAGTGATGCAAGAAATATTTTTGCTTTACTTAGTAACATGTTCTTGAACTTTTCAACATTGTAGGACAGCATCATTGTCGCCTAAAAAGTCAACATTTATTTTATCTGTCACCATCTTTCAAAGACATAAAGATTATAAAATGATAATTATCAGATAAGAAATTTCCAGTGTTTGCGTCAACGTAATCATCCTTCCATAGGTAATTTTTTCAAAGTGTCATGTGTTTTTTTCAGAGTTAGTTGGCAAAGTAATAATAAATTCAAGTTCAAAAACTGACATTAACAAAAATTTTGGAAGCCCTTGTGACTTAATTTATGTGTTTTTAAGTAACTAAATTCCAAAGTACAATTAACATGATATTCATCTGAATAGAGTTTTTTTCGTAACAGCATACTCGAAGTTAATAAAATCACCAAAATTTCCTCACTTCAGAAGCAAAATCAATATCATAACGAATATCTCACTTGAGAGACGAAACAATAATTTATTTTAACTAGTTTTATCCTGTTTTTTTTTTCTAGATTAATAAATATAATATGACGTCACCAGCTTTCTAAAAGGGAAACATTTAATTAATATTCATTTCTGTTTTATCAACATTTTAAACAATATAGTGCATTTTTTGACAAATTTGGTTAAAAATAAAAATAACTAGTTAGGTTAAAAAGTGTGACCATTATTAAACCGTCATGGTATAATTATTATTATTAAGTGATTGTACTTAATACAATCTTACGAGAGGTGTTAATTATTATTTTACTATTTATATGTCAATCTTAAAGCACATCTAAAATTTGAAAGTAATCAGATGCGTAGTTTTGAAGACCATTTGTCTAATAAAATTGCCAAGACGAAGACAGACGACAGAATGTTTGTTTTTATTTTACGCTCAGGAAGTGAAACACAAAATGTCTATAATTTCAACAACCATATTTTTTGGTTTGTATATTTATTAAAAGCACAGTGTGAAACCGGATGAAATTAAAAATTGATTGAATTAGCACTTCATAAATAAAATGCAACTAGAGGATGATATCATCACCAAACATAGTTATTACATGATTTTCTAGCCAACATGTTCATTAAAGAGAGCAAATAACCAACGAGAAAAATATTTTCTCAGTTTCTCAGCCCACGCTTAACTTAGACTGTTTATGTTTATATTTCCAAAGAATTCGACTAATTGCAAGATTTTGTCTCCTCAACGTAAAAAGAGGACAATTAATTAAGCAAAAAAGATGGATGTTAACGACGTAACATATTTCCAATAACCTTAAAATATTTGCAAGATTTCACAGTATCAAAATCAAATAGCAAAATGTTGTTATACAATTTTGATTTTTTTTCCAAAAATAAGAATTTATATTTTTATTTTTTATTTTATATTTGGAAGAATTTGATAGAATCTTGGGGCCAGTGCGTACCTCATTTTGAAATAATCTAGAGAATCTTGGGGTACCAGGTGCTTTTTTCAGAATCTTGCAGCTGTCAGTGTTTAATTTTTGTAAACACCCAAAAAAAATTTGGGGATCCCCGGCGTTTCGGATAAATTTGAAGAAATCTGGGTTTTGTTGCTGGATGAACTTGACAAAATTTTTTGAGCTTTTAGTGTTTTATTTTTTACGAATTTGAAAAAGTCTTGAGTGCCGCAGTGTTTTGTTTTGTTTTTTTTTTTTAATCGGAAGACTCGTGGGTGCGAATGGTGTATTATTTTGGGAGCCCATTGAGATTTTTTTGTAAATTATTTAAAAGAATTTTGAGAGACTTTGGTGTTCTGTTTTTGGAAAAATTCGCGAACATTCGGGAAACTTCTGCTGTACTGTTTTTAGTTAATTTTGGGACCCCTTTTTTTTTTCTTCAATTTAAAACAATCTTGAGGTTCTAGATATTCCTGTTTGGAATGAATTTGAAAGTGATTTGAACCCCTAGTGCCTTTTCTTGTGATAATTTAATTAATTAAATTTAGAGGATACGTCATTTGCTAAAATCAGTCTTATCTTAGCAAGTATCAGCCCCAGCCACCCACCCGCCCTCTATTTTCTTAGAGGATATGTCATTTGCCAAAATCAGTCTTAGCAGGTACCAGTCCCACCCACCCGCCTTCTATTTTCTTAGCGGATATGTCATTTGCCAAAATCGGTCTTATTTTAGCAGGTACTAGCCCCGCCCACCCGCCCTCTATTTTCTCAGAGGATATCTCATTTGCCAAAATAAGTTTTAACTTAGCAGACATTTTTACCCTAGTGATTCATACCGATTCATAGACCACAAGCGCGCACACAATCACATTTATTTTGTACAATTTAAATACATTTACTAATGCAAATTTTGAAGATAACGTTATCCCACTGTTGGTGGGGATGAATAGCCAAATTTTGATTAGCGTTTTATCATCTACATGATATTCGTAAAATACGTACAAAATGTAACAATCGATCCGGTAGTTCTGAAGATTAATAAATAAAAATTGATACACACGACAGTCGGCAGACCGACAGATAGACAGATAGACAGACAGGCGGAAACGGGCGACCTATTTTTTCGTAGTCTAGGGTCATGAAACGTCGAGCAAACATGAAAATAGCCAGTCATCCGATTGAACTCTAGTACAATATTTCGTTAGCTTATGCTCGGAAAGTAATAATTGGAGTAAATTCCATAATAAAAATCAAAATATAATATTTATGACAATTTGTTCTATTACGTAGATTACAAATTTTTTGTTAACACTACTTAAGCGATAATGGAGCAAAACGTTCTGAATATAATTTTTGGTAAGTAGCTATTATTATAATTCTTATTTTATTATGTAAGACCCACCACTGACCCGGAAATGACCGGCATTCAGGCAAGACTTCTATCATTATGGGTACTAAGACCAAGTAATGATATGCATTGATTAGATTAACAGAACAATTAAATATAGACGAACGGAACATTACTGTATTCTCAAATTTTCGAGAAAATGGGATGAATCGTTCTTAATTTGATCAATAAAAAAATTATGACCCATGACTCAATAGAACCAGCGATCTTTAGTAATTCAACATTTTTATGGCCACAAAGTGATGTAATTTGGGTTTTTGCGAAAATTGAGATGCCTAGGATAAAAAATCAAGGCGGATCCATAAACTACAAGTATAAGAATCAGTTATTTTATAAAATTTAAATAGGGTTACTAAAAAAATTTGAGGGGACATCACCAAATTTTAGAGGGAATCCAATAAAAATAGACGTTGAAGGCAGACAACAAAGAAAACAGTTTCAAACATATTTTTAAAGAGTACAACGTCCACAATGTCAATTAACTTTTGTCAAAGTATGTACCTGATGTTTCGATATCTTTTTATTTCATATTTTCTGAACACACATATACCTGTATACTGCGTGTTTAAAAAAAAGATCCAAGTCCATAGCTGCTTCATTTCTTCGAGTACAACACATTGGCATTGTGAGATACGTCAAATTACAACATTTTAAATATATTACGATCTGATTTGAAAAATTATTGTTTAACTTTCATTTGTTTATGTCTACGTCATTCAATTTTTCTTTTTTTTTAATGACACCCTATAGGTATTTTAGAAATTATTGTAGAGATTTAAATACTTCTGTACATAAACAAAAGTAGCAAATATTGTCAGATTAACTGACATAAATTTTGACATCAAGTAACTAGATTTGTATACGCAAATAATGTTGTTAATAAATTTAACAATACAAGAATTATGTTAATTTTTACCAAAATTTTACAAGAATCTCCAAAAAATATACAAGCTGTCATTAAAAAAGTTAAATGTCTTAGGTAAACAAATGAAAGTATCATATTTTAAACGACTTAATTTGACGGAACACACAATGTTGTACCTACTCAAAAAAACAAGACAGCTACAGGTGGGGGATTTTTTTTTTCAAACACACTGTAAAACAAAGTTCTGATTTTATATACGCACTCGACCTCCCTTTGACTGTTTCGTTTAAAAATTCTATAAATGATACAGATTTTATTAAGCCAAAATATAGTGACGGATAAGCTCGATGGTACGTTGTTAAGAAGGCTCTGAAAAACTAAAAAAAAAAATTAATGGTAAAAAATTCCACTAAACTTTCCAAAATATTAAACTTCAAAATTGAAAAATTAACTTCATAATTCTAATTTGCTTTAAAGAAGTGTATGTTTAATAGACAGCGAAACAATTAGTTATTCATAATTTAATAATAATTTACTAGAATACAATCAACAACGTCATTTTTTACTGTTGACAAATCACTTTCGAGAATTTTTATAGGAATTTTAGAGTGTTCAAGTTTAATCTTTCCAAAAATTTGGTTCAGGTACCACCGAGTTTATACGTCATTTTTTGATCACCCCCTATATACTCGAAAAAAATTAATAATTTTGAAAAAAATTTGACAACCATAACTTAATATAAGCTGCCGATATATTGTAACCTGGATTTTTAATCAACTTAAGTACATAATTAATTAGTGTAAGATATCCAATTTAACAAAAAATTAACTGAAATCCATTTTTAACAATAATTCGAGATGATACATAGTTGGCTACTATACACAAGTGTCGTTTTTAAGTGTTCGTCATATACCGAATTAAAAATGTGTGTTTACTTTATAAATATAGCGTCTAAATTAAATATAAAGCCATATTCCAAAACCATGTTGTCTTAAGAACGTCATTCATACTACGACGATATATTTTTAAATTTATATGACATATTTTAGACGAAAATGTGAAAATCGGTGAAAAATAACAAACAAGCAGAGGAGTTTCTAATTATACTAAACAGAGTATTGATTAAATCTCGGTTTAGAATCACAAATGAAACACTTGCGCTCTAGAGGTATTCGGTATTGGTAATAGTACATTTAATAAGACTTTAATTTATATCATAAATATACAAAAATTACAAAAACACATATAATGTTTAAATATTTACACTGTACAACCACATACCTGAACTTAGCCACATCACAGTGTGTACATTCATATGCACCCTCCTCACACTTTTCATCCTCCTCATTATAATGGAAAAAATTATCGTGTGCTTCACCGTTTTCTTCCCCGTTACGATGTCTATGATTATGGTTATTCTGCATCTTTTACAGCTACAGTCGTCCCAACAGCCAACACACCACTGGCACTCTGTTACAAAACTGAATAGCTTTTGTAGCAGGACGTCGGAAAGTTGATAACAGCCACCGGCAGATCGAATCCAATTTAAAGAAGACACTTGCGTCAACGTGGGTCGGATTCTGTGCATATGCAGGGGGAAAACGTCTGTCTGCTTTCATCTCGAGGAGACAATGTAGTATGTGACAATTCAAACTATGCAATTAAATTGCTCATATGAAGACTCACGTTATTGCACGCCATACCAATGCGGGTTCCTCTGTTTTTATCGTATCATTTTATACTGCAGACTGTATATCGATTGTCTACGGGATACGCGAGGGTAAATATTTGTCGAGGTTTATCAGTTTGTGTTGCTAGACGGTTTTTAATAATGGTGTTACATAATGACGGGATCAAATATCGTACCAGCATTGTCTGTTTGAAGCCGCCGGTTGATGTAAATATTTGTCTTGGAGTAGCCTTCTGTTAGTGACTTCATTATGGTGCCATTTTACTACGTGATGCACATTTTTTTAGAGACTTTAACGTGCTTTAACTTTACACTCGATGATGTTCTCAGAAATTACCTCATTTAGTCGTTGTAATTATCATTTTAAACGCAATTTTGTGTTTTCTTAGCTTCATTAGTAAATAGTCACAAAATACAACCAGTGTCAGACACTGCAAACCTATGACTAATTTTCTTTGCAATGTTCTGAACATAAATAGCACCGGAGATGCTATTTTTGCTTCGGGTTGATGATCTCTGTCAATATGATACTAAGGGGTCAATTCCAAGTTGGTGGCGCAAGTCAGTGGTGCAGCGCAACTTTATAATGCTAATTTGGGTATCAAATGCTGGTTGCTAGGGGTGACGGAATAAACAAGCGCAATTTTTCGAGATAAATTGCGCCAACTTGCACTGCCTACTAGAGGTGCCGCAACTCCATGGTGCAAATTTCAATGGAAAATTTCAATTTATCTCGAAAAATTGCGCTTGTTTATTCCGTCACCCCTAGCAACCAGCATTTGATACCCAAATTAGCATTATAAAGTTGCGCTGCACCACTGACTTGCGCCACCAACTTGGAATTGACCCCTAAGTCATTATCTTGTTACATAAATTGTTGAAAAATTATTTCATCAACTGCTCTCTATTATTGTCCAAATCTGATGTCGGGTTAATTTTTTTCCACGCGGAAACTTCACAAAATTATTATCATAACTTGGGTGAGGGAAAATGTGGATGTAGCACATGATGGAATTTTAAACGGATGTTGATAGTGGTGGAAATTTTCTCATGCACGCAACGTGATATTAAAAAATATTTCCCCGAATTAATTTATTGTGGTAAAATATTTGTTTTATCAGTTGGCGAAACCGTAAAACTCTAAAATAGCGAGCGGCAAAATTAAAATTTGAATAATCTTGTCGTGATTTCTAGGTTATAATTTTTAACAAAGTCATCACCACCATGATTTGCAACTATTTCGTGTCACATGTGGTGCACTCATTTTTTGATCTTTCACTTTTTCTGGTCTGCAACACAAAATAACACATGCTAATTTTCTCCGGAACGGCAAAATAACATCATTTGTGGTTTGTGGTTGCTTGGGCAAGCACGTACCTATCATTACATGGTAACGTTGAAGAATGTGGTTTTTTATTCGACATATAATTCCCAATTTATCATCAAATTATGTTTTTTGTGTAGCTGTTTATAAATCGTTCACAAATAAATAGGAATTGGGAACATGTTTATTTAGTGCTTAATAAAATTGTAAATGGATTTCAATGGACGATGACGTAGCGTTTTAAACGATAATTGTTATTTGCGATACCGATCGTTTTTTTGGTGATATTCTGACTTTGAAATTTTTCTTGCATAAAGTTTTTATAGCACGCTAAACGAATAAAGATGGTGTGCATTGTTTCATCTAATGGTCGACTTCAACAAAATGGCGGCGTGCTTTACATTTAAGAAAATAAAGTAGAGTTAGATCGATGTAATTCACTGGCCTAAAATTAAATTTTCTCGGAGTTTGCTAGTTTGTAGGACACTTATTAATGTTACAAAACTTGGGGGATTGTTAGAATTAAGAGTTTCAGTTCTGCCATCTACGCCAAAGCAGTATTATCACAACACGAAAATGCGGAGGCAAGCACAGGACTCTTTTTCGGCAGGCTTTCTTCATGTTCCACAGTTTATTCTGTCTATTGGAAAAACAACTCATTAAAATTATACTAAAACATTAACATCCGTTACATAATTACAGAGTAAATATTTACTACATTTTTTTTTTCCCGGCAATAAGTCTCTTTATAGCATCGAATTTTACGATTTATTCAAGGAAATTAGACAATACAGATCTTCAAAATCACTAGTAACACACTAATGACTTAACAAAATTTTATTTTTATCAATTCCAAAAGAATTCGGGCGTTTTGATTTTAGTTTGGCAATTATGTTTTCAATGTTCTAAGAAATCGTCCATTTGGCTTCCATAAAACTATCATAAAAAAATTGGTCTAAAGAGTTTAGACAGTACTTCCCTCGCTGTCGGAAACTTGACGACTGCATGCCTATTGTGTTTTTTTTCTCATTACATTTTTGTAGTGGGAATTTAAAAAAAAAATGCGATGACGTCATCAACATTTTTGCAAGGACACGTATATCAGTTGGGATAGATGTAGTGTAATACTAAGAATAAAATTATTATATTCTCAAATTTTCGGGAAAATGAATTGGGTCGTTTGAATATTGATTTGTAATAATCAATAAAATAACGAAACAATTTACTCACGTATACCTACGTATCAGAGGCAACTGAAAATCGTGTATGTATAAACATTGTTAATTTAAGATGACAGGCGTAACAGCATACGTGAGAGCCAAACACAGAAACTGTAAACAAAACGACCGTCGGTTTTATTGCTTCGACTTCCGCTTATTATATAAAACATTGGGTTTTATTTTAATTCTTGACGGTGAAATTCACAATTGGTTGATTATAAACATGTCTATTTCACATTCGCGGAATCAAGTGAACGCATAAAACAAATGCAGGTCTGTAATGTTAAAGTCGATGTAAATAAGCGTGCTACCCTTATGTTTCAACCGAGTTTTTCCTTTAACAAATTTTGTGTCTACCAAATTGGGTTGGTTGGGGTGTAATACTAATAATAAGTGTTGCCTTTAATTTAATCAATAAAATAAATTGACTTCATTAATTTTTTTGAACCACCTCTTAAGAAAATCTAAAAAATATGAATGGAATGATAAATCACAAGTACAAACTCATCATATTTTTTGCATTTTAGATAGGATTTATTCAGCAAAATTTAAGGGTGACGTCATCAATTTTTTTAGGAGGGATGAACAAATACATTTTGAACAAAAGTTTACCATGCTTATAATAACTTTAAAATATTCCCAAGATTTCAAAGCATTCGGTTTTGTAATTCCTGATTAAATCGATAAAATAAATTCACGCCTTCATTAATTTTTTTGAGTCACCCTGCATATGCAAATCCAAAAATATGAATGGAATGATAAATCACAAGTACAGACTCATCATATTTTGTACATTTTAGATACGATTTATTCGGAAAACTTTTGAGCTGACGTCATCAGTTTTTTGTAGAAGATAACCAAATATATTTTGACTAAAAATTTATTATGCTCTTTATAACCTTAAAACATCTGCAAGATTTCAAAGCATTCGGTTTTGTAGTTCCTGATTAAATCAATAAAATAAATTTACGCATTCATTAATTTTTTTGAGTCACTCTGTATATGCAAATCCAAAAAATATGAATGGAGTGATAAATGACAAGTACAGGCTCATCATATTTTGTACATTTTAGATATGATTTATTCGGCAAACTTTCGAGCTGACGTCATCAAGTTTTTGGAGGGGATAAGCAAATATATTTTGACTAAACATTTATTATGCTCTTTATGACCTTAAAACATCTGCAAGATTTCAGAGCATTCGGTTTTGTAGTTCCTGATTAAATCAATAAAATATATTTACGCATTCATTAATTTTTTTGAGTCACCCTGTATATGCAAATCCAAAAAATATTAATGGAGTGATAGTTCACAAGTACAGACTCATCATATTTTGTACATTTTAGATATGATTTATTCCACAAACTTTTGAGCTGACGTCATCAAGTTTTTGGAGGGGATAAGCAAATATTTTTTGACTAAAGATTTATGATGCTCTTTATAGCCTTAAAACATCTGCAACATTTCAAAGCATTCTGGTTAGCAGATTAAAAATTAAATTTCAAAATGTTGTTTTATAATTTTGATTTTTTTTCCAAAAATCTGGACGTTTCGGGTGAAAAGTCGATTCAGAGTTGTAAACTACATGTGTAGGACTATGTTATTTTATACAATTGAAAACCCATTTACTATGTACAATTTTGAAGTGACGTCATCGCTTTAGTGGTGGGGATGATTCGACAAATTTTGGTTAGCGTTTTACCATCTACATGATATTCTTAATATAAGTACAAAATTTCACAACAATCGGTCGAGTACTTTCGGAGATTATCTGTCTAATAAAAATCCGTGACAACAGACGGACAGACGGACAGACGGACAGACGGACAGACGGACAGACAGACGGAAATGGGAGACCTATTTCTTCGTCTTCTAGGGGTCATGAAAGATCGAGAAAACGTAAAAGTAGACAGTCGGCCGACGGACTCGATTACAATACTTCCTTTGCTTACGCTCGGGAAGTAAAAACTGGTGATATCATTCCGACAAAATTGTAAACAAACTCTACTGAGCAGAAATATTTATTTATTTTTCAAGAATGTTTTCAATTTTTACTTTCCAAGCGTAAGCTAGGGAAGTAGATATTGTAATAATTGCACGAATGGCTACCTCCCTGGTTACTCGATATTTCATAACTCCTAGGCGAAAAAGTAGACCCGCGTTTCCGTCTGTCTGTCAACTGCTGTGTGTTGTTTGCGTGTCTTCTATCTGTCTGTGTCGATTTTTATTAGGAAAACAATTTCCGAAATTACCGGACCCATTGTTGAAAAATGTTATGTCCTGAGTGACAAAAGTAATAGAACATCAACAGCTGATTTTATTCAGTTTGTAATGAAATTTTGTATACATGTTAAAACTTTTCCAAGTAAGAATTGATTACAATTTTAATGTTATCTGTCCAGTTGTTTTAAGATTTTTTTTTCGTACGCTAGAGTGCGTCGGTTTCCAAATTTTAGACAACTCTGGAACTTTGAGATGATCCCTTTTTGGTGTTCTTTTACTTATCTCAATCAGTAGATATGTTAGGAATGTCGTGTTACTTGTGGTTTATGAATCCACCTTGAATTTTTATCCTAGGCATCCAAGTTTTCGCAAAAAAGCCGTAAGTTTATATGTGGATAAAGAAAACATCCTACTTATAAAGTTGAAGGAAATTTTTCGTGGCCGCTATGACATTATATATGTTATTTGATGTATATTGTATATAGGTAGTAGGTACTATGATTTTCTGTAATTATACATGTACCTAATACTTATGATAATGTATCGTGTATGTTTGATATCTTATTTATATTTTTGTTCTTATTTGACACATCATTTCTTAAGTATATTTTGTTATACTTTCTGAATAAACTATTATTAAG